CTGCTCAGCAGGGAGTCTGCTTCTCCCTCTGACCCTCTTCCCTCTCGTGCTATCTCTCATTCTTCTCTCAAATAAATAAAATCTTTAAAAAAAAAAGAATCATGGAACACTACATCAAAAACTAATGATGTAATGTATGGTGATTAACATAACAATAAAAAAGTAGGGAGATTCTTTTAGAGTTGATGAAAGTGTTCTAAAAGTTGACTGTGGTGATGGTTGCATATATAAGTGAAAATACTAAAACAGATTGAATTGTACACATTAAACATAAATTTTATGTGATGTGGATTATATCTCAATAAAGCTGTTTTTTAAAAGGTACAGAAGAGTGAATTCATATCAGTTGGAAAATATGGATGGATGTTAATAGCATATCAGAAAGTTCAGAAAATTTTTGAGAAAAATGTCAAAGGTGGGAACAAAATAATGGAGTGAACTCTACAAAACTGAGTCTCAGGCTCCTAAGGGAGAAATAAAGAAGTTGTAGAGACTCATCACTCAATTTAAGATGTGTGGGCATCACCTCCCTTAGCTTATATTCCTCACCCAAATTTTCCTTCCTTCATAATTCACATAAACTGTTGGAAGCTCAAAATTTTAGAGAAATGACTCCTCATGCCAGTAGCAGAGTGGAAAATTCAGGAATTTTAAGGAAAATATGTAATAAAATTTTAAGTTATATAGATTAATGCTAAAAATAATTTCTTCATCAAATACAAGTAAAATAAAAAAATATATCAGTTACCATTTTCTATTGAAACATTAGTGAAATAATAAGTTCGCCAAAATATTTCTTGATTCTTACCAACTCTGTTTTACTTCTATGACTGTGTGAAATGAATGCCATAAAATACTAAATCATATTTAAAAGCTTATTATTTATTTTATTTAACTATAATTTTCAGTTATATTCAATGATCTACAGAAATGATTTTTTATGATCTCCCCTAAACATATTAATAAATGAAATTTTAAGAAAATGTGCCACCTGGGGAAAATTTTTAAAGCATAACAGGCATCAAGCACCAAAAGCTTTAATGAAAAAATCCTCCTCCCTATTTTTCTCAGAAGGTCTTCATTACTCAATACTCATTACTCAAATGAAATAACTTTTTCCCAAAAATAAAGTTACTTTAATAATCCTTGAATTACTGAAGGCTTTATAAACCTGAAGGTCTAATAACAGATGGAATTCAAACACTTTAAATTTGAGTTCATGCTGTGTAGGAACTATGAGGTATTACATATATGTGTGTGTGTGTGTGTGTGTGTGTGTATAATATATATGATATATATATATCATATTAAACATTTCTACTTCTGCTTTTTCTACACAGTGGACTGCATATCCCATCAATGATCTCAAGTGACTATTTTGTTGCCCCAAAATAATCTGGCAAAATTGAAGTTTTCCTCACTTTAATAATTCTTCTCATATTTCATTTGGTTAGTGAACACAAAACTTGGTGCTTTTCTAGCTAATATATTGTTTTCAGTTTTAGAGCTTCTTAGAACAAGTAAATGCTTGGAGCTAAAGCTATTAGTTTAATGTCTTATTTTTTTCTTCTACTCCTAAATTGGTTCTCTTCACCAGTCCTTCTGCTGCCAATATTAACAGAAGGTAAAGGTAATTCTTCCAACATGGTTCACTCTAGAACATGAGTACCTGAGTCATTTGCCAACATTAATTATGTAAAATCCTGCAGCACAACCTGTAGCACATTATATGGGAAAATTGCATTATATGCTTCATATGTAAAACAAGTCTATCAGTAACTAAGTAATGATTATTTAAGAATAATGAGTTTTGAAAATGACATGACTCTAAAGTTAACAGGAACTTAAAACATAGAGAAAATCTTAGAGAAACAATGTACCAGGATCACTAGGTAAATCACAAATATGTAAGTGACAGAGTTTTCCATAGTAAGCTTCACTAACAAGACTAGCTTCTGGAAAATTCTAACTCATTCATCTAATTACTTATGCAAATTTATTCCTCTCAAAAACTTGAGTACTGTCCCTTGTACAAACTTAAAGGTCAAAAGTTAGTCAAAGGCACTGAAATTTCAACAATGACACATAAAGAGCTTGGATTCACCACTCTCATCCTTATAGAAAAAAGCTGAACAAAGTGAAAACCAACCTTCTTTGGACCTATCAGAGATAGGTGAGATCACATGACAAACTTCCACCAGAAAGCTGAAGAGACAAGGGAATACAGAGAATCAGAGCTGAGCTCTGTTTAACTGGAGCAGAAGGTACTACTAGAGTCACAAACTGGTAGGAACACTTAACTGGTAATTTTGAGGAACTGATGTAGGCTGAGTATGGGTTACCACGAAAATGAGACACTCCTTGGGTTGCAATCTTGATGGGTGGAGACTCACATTTTTGTGGATTTACTTCTAGAAACCTCACCAGGTTCTTATGGTGAAAAGCCAAGAAAAATTCCCCTCGTGGTTCAGGCAGGAGGAAGGGGAAAGCGACCATTTTGATATATGTTCAGAGCATTCTCCATAATGAAAGCCTAGTCTCCAAAGTTAAAAATTTTACCAGAGTCTTATCCCACCTAAAGGGAAGGGTGTTTACCAATTCTAGCCCCCTCTAACCTCCCTGTCTCACCCAAGGGGAGAAAGATGCTAAGAAACGCTTATAAAGACACAGGGGCACAGGCTCACTAAAAGACTGAGATTTAATCATAAGAACACTTCTCTTCCCACACACCTTACCACACACCAAAAAATTTACACCTATGCATATCATATTCAAACCACAAAATCAAAGGCAGAAGAAATGTTGAAAGAAGCTAAAGGGAAGAATAAAGTAAAAAACAGCAAGCTTCTCATCAGAAACCATACAGTTGAGAAGAAAGTGTTGAAGGAACAAGAGACACCAACCTAGAATTCTATATCTAGTGTAATTATCCTTCAAATGTGAAAGAGAAATAAAGATTTTTCTCAGACAAAAACTGAGGAAATTCAATGCCAGCTGATCTGCCCCATAAGAAATATTTTTAAAGTTTTTCATGGAGAATAATTATGATATATGTCAGAAACTGAGATCTACATTTTAAAAAAGAAGACTGAAAAGGAATAGATGAAATCTATTTAAATTTTTTTTAAATAAGAAACTTACACAGTAAAAAATACTTAACAGAAAATAAATGGCTGTAGCCATTTAATTTTTAAGGGCAAGGGGGTACAATATTAGATTACAAAATCCTTTCATTCCTTCAATGTAAATGCCACCTATCTACTCAAACTTTTGATAAAGACTGCTATTTACACATATTTTCTCTTTTTTTTTTTTTTTGCATTTTTAAAATCAAAGATCTGAGTGTTGGATTTGGTATGATGTCAGAAACAGGGGTGATAAAGGACTAGCCTAAGAATGAGGCAAGAAATGGGGACCAGAGGTAATGTTCTAATGGACTTGAGAGTTCAAGGCAACTTATGTAGATTTTAAGGTATGAGGGAACACTGAAGTAACAAATTGGTTACACTCATATTAAATCAAATTTTTAAAAATCACTTACCTCAAATGAGTTTGAATTCAATTGAATATGAGGCATGTGAGCTGATATCAGTTTACAGGAATATGCTATCAAGAGAGAAATAAACATGTCACATATTTGAAGACTCAATGCCTTCCATGAGTTCATTTTTTAGAGTAAGACATCTATTTATACATTTTCTTCATCATAGTCTCTGCTTTATTACTAGGTCAAAGCCTAGTAGCTCATCTCAAATACTGAGCAAAAGTTTGTAGATTGAAAAAGTTGAAACATGGCTTCATTTAATCTTAATTGGCAACCTAAATAGAAATGGTTGGGAAGGTGCATATAACTAATGGCTAACTCTGTACTTTTAAATGTCTGTGGATTTTTATTTTTATTATCCTTATATGACATGAGATTCAATTCATGCTTTATAACAATTCCAAGGCTTGAGGAAGCCTGTGTATCAAGTTTTGTTGTATCAAGCTGCTATATCAACAGTATTATGTCTACCGTACTCATAAAATCCTAGGTAGGATTGAAGGAAATAAACTCACCCAATGCTCATAATAACGTTCAATGTGATGATCCAGTTAGACACCTCAGAGAGCATTTTCCAGTTTGAAAACTAAGTCATTCTCACTTTAGAAATTAGACTGAGAATATTTTTGTAAGTACAGGATTAGCCTATGAGGGCGCAAATAGAAAATCACATCTGTATCTACAAGAATGAAACTATCTCTGAGATAGATGAACCCTTATCAAAAAAGTTTGAGTCTTTGTAAAAGCAGTCATTTTAAAGTTCTATGAAGCTGAGGAAACATCTACTAACAGTCCAAAAATAGTCACTTTCTTTTCCTCCTATAGGCTCAAAGGGGCACAGTAGGAAGGCTGCTGGATAAATGAAAGGAATTAACCCCACTGTGAAAATAATAGGAAGTAGTGATTTGAGTGTAAGAAGAGAGCCCTGCAAATGTTGAGTGAGTTAGGATAGTATTTTTCTTCCTTCTTACAGGTTCAGTTTTTGTCTCTGAGAACTAATGGTTGTCCTAAGAAGATAGTGCGTGGGTGTTTAATTCGGCATCTGTCCACAAGTCCAGGAGACCTCCTGCTCTCCAGAGTGCTAGTTCATCTTCTCCTCTCTCACCCCAGCCATCCTCTCAGCAAAATGGAAATATGGGGTCCCTTATTCAAAAACCAGGGGGAGCGGGGAGGACAGAATGCCATTATAGATTCTAAAATAGAAAGTTTTTCTCTAAAAATATTTTATACTTACAAAATGTAACAGGGGTAATGGTGATAGACAAAAAACAACATAAACTTACAAATTGCAAAAAATATATAGTTTTGGTGCCATAATCTTATATAATGCGATAAAAATAAAACTTTATTAATGTGATATCTTGTTTGATCATAAGATTTTTCTCTTACACTTCTGCAAATTCATTTATTCGATCATCAAAACTTATACTTTTAGCAACTTTATTTTCAAACAATATATGTAATTGAAAGCAATGTTTGTCACTCTTGGAAAATGTAAGATTGTCAGTAATTTTTGACCATTTTTAATTTTGAGCATCATCTTTCTGATGTAACTATTACTAGAGCTTTTAAGATTTTTTTTATAGGCTGTGAGGATATTGTGATGAATTTCTGATATATTATTTTGAAAATTAAATTTTTGTACATTTGTAACTGATGATTCCTATGGAACAAATTTTCCAAAACTGTTCATATAAATCAGTTTCATGTAAATTGGAATTTAATTTAAATGTAAATTTATACAATATCATTTTAATATTTCCTTTGAAATTTCCTGAAACTTGTGGACATCATACAGAAAAGCAAAAGTAGCTTCATGATTTTTATATAATTCAAAATGCCTATTTATGTATTCTATTGCAGCCTATCCAATTACAGGAGACAATCACTTTTTAAATGGTCTTCTTCATCAATTATTGGTTCATCTGATGCTTCCTATGTAAACGGTGTCCCCCGCCCCCAGAATGTACTGGTCTTTAAATTTAATTTCTATTTCAAAGCCTGTGGATATTTTTTTGCCCTATTGCAGTGGTTTTTCAAAACCAGAGATTCTAAACTCTTCAAAGAATTCTAAAGATTTCCTGATATGTTTTATTGCAATGTTCATGTGTCCACTTTCATTTTGTGGTAAGTTACTGACAAAGTTAACTGTCTAAGGCTGGCAGTTTCTGTACCAACCCCCAGGTTGGAGAGTTCATATTTGTGCTGGACACAGACAAGCCAGCCCACTGTGGGTTCTCGAGCTGCCCCCACGAGGAAACTTCCTTTCTCCTGAAGCTGTTGTTGCTGCTGCTGGCTCTCTATAGACAAAGCCAAAGGTCTTTGGACTCATCTGCACTCACTACACCCTCATCAGTGAGGGCTGACAGATCAACCTACCAAATGGACCCCAAATTTAGTCCCTCTCTCACACGCCCCATCACATCCTAGTACAAGTCACCAGCATCTCTTGTCTAGACTTTTATGAAGGCTTCCTACCTGATCTCCTGACTTCCATTCAGCCCAGTCTCCATACAAGAACCAAGAGATTGTTTTTAAAATATAAACTAGATCATATTACTCTTGCTTAAAACCATACACATTTCTTATTGTGGCCTGACAAGCTTTCATTTCCTATCTTCTTTGCTTTCCTCCCCGTGTTCCAACCACTCTGGCCTTTCATTTGTTCCTCGAATATGCACATCCCCACACCAGGGCCAATGTGCTCACTATAATCTTTGCCTGGAACACTCGTCCCAGAGATCCTTTCAATGCTTGCTCCCTCTTTCCATTTGGGTCTCTGCTTCAAAAGTCACCTTCTTTACAGGTGTTCTATGTGATTAGCTTGTCTACCTCTTGCTATGCCTTGCTGTGTTTTTATTCTTAGCACTGATTGCAATATTACAAAACACAGTGATCTGCTTATTAATTTTATCTTTTCTCCTTGGATATAAGTTTCATAAGGACAGAGACTATTACTCAGGTTTTCATTCCCAGCTCCTAGATTTTCCTGGTACCTAGCAAGTAATCAATATTCACTAAATGAATGAATGTAGAATAAACAAATGAGTGGAGACAACATTTAAAGGTGGTGTCTGGTGCATACAGACTTGTTTTATCGTATATGTTAATCTAACTGGAGCTGACTACCATGATGATTATGAAAAACATAATAATGTCAATTCCTTCTCACCATCAAAACATGAATATTCACAGCTAACAATTGACTTTTCAACTCCTATTCTGCACATCTCAACTCTAAGATACAATCATACAGTAAAAGGGGAAAAAAGGCAAAAAAAAAAAAATGACATTGAAAAAAAACAATTGTTTTTCTCCCTCTGATGACTTCCCATTCAGTTTTCCCCCCATGAGAGACTCTTTATATATATATTTTTAATTATGTTAATCACCATACATTATATCATTAGTTTTTGATGTAGTGTTCCATGATTCATTGTTTGCATGTAACACCCAGTGCTCCATGCAGAACGTTCCCTCTTTAATACCCATCACCAGGCTAACCCATCCTCCCACCCCCCTCCCCTCTCGAACCCTCAGTTTGTTTCTCAGGGTCCATAGTCTCTCATGGTTCATCTCCCCCTCCGATTTCCCCCCCTTCATTCTTCGTTTTTTTTTTTTACACATATAATGTATTATTTGTTTCAGAGGTACAGGTCTGTGATTCATCAGTCTTGCACTATTCACAGCACTCACCACAGCACATACCCTCCCTAATGTCTATCACACAGCCACCCCATCCCTCCCACCCCCCACCACTCCAGCAACCCACCATGAGAGACTCTTAACTGTAGGGAACAAACTGAGGGTTGCTGGAGGGAGAAGGGTGGAGGGAAGAGGTAATTGGTTAATGGCCATTAAGGAGGGCACATGATGTGATGAGCACTGGGTGTTATATGCAACTGATAAGTTATTGAACACTACACTTGAAACTAATGATGTACTACAGGTTGGCTAATTGAATTTAAATTTAAAAAGAAAAAAAACAATTGAATATTCTCACTAATAATCAAAATGTTTATGAATAAACATACATAATACAAAGATAGGTATATACATTATAGGGAAAATATGCCATAACTTCAAATTTCAAAGGAAAGGAACAAGAAACATACATATTACTCATGTAAGCATTCTGCAGTCTATATTTCAACAATGTGAAGGAGACAGACTCTTTGCTTTGCTTAGTTTGCTCAAATTTCCTGCCATGTGATGGCAAGATTCCATTGCACTCCATTTACCCAAAGGCATATAAAACAACTACTTGAAGGAAGTTCAATCATTCATTCTTGATACCAGGATATATTTAGAATACCTGTCCAAACAGATTTTCTAAAACTTTATATCTATTACCTATGTTAATTGTAGTTTCTCGTTTATCTCCTGTCAAAACCCATATTCTTATGTTTGCTTTCAGTAAAGTTGTTATCGTTTCTGGAACACGTGCTTGAAGGTGATCTTCAATGGCTGTGGCTCCAAGAAGCAGAAATTTCTAGATATATTTTTGAAAGAGATATTTTTTATTACTAGTTAAGATAAAAAAAAATGGGGTGCCTGGGTGGCTCAGTCGTTAAGCGTCTGCCTTCAGCTCAGGTCATTGTCCCAGGGTCCTGGGATCAAGCCCACATCAGACACCTGCTCCATGGGAAGCCTGCTTCTCCCTCTTCCACTCCCCCTTGCTTGTGTTCCCTCTCTCGCTGTGTCTCTCTGTCAAATAAATAAATAAAATCTTTAAAAAAAAAGAAAAACATTTTAATATGGAATAAATAGGGCAAATTTTGACAAATGTTATGCAGTCTGCTTATTATGTGAAGTCCCATACATGTCACACACACACACACACGCACACAGATACACACTTTCTTTCTAGTCTCTTCCACTGGTCTATTTGTCCCTATTTTAGCATGATAGTTAAAGAGTATAGGCTCATGGGGGTGCCTGGGTGGTTCAGTTGGTTAAGCGTCTGCCTTCTGCTCAGGTCATGATCCCGGGGTCCTGGGATCCAGCCCTGCAACAGGCTCCCTGCTCAGCAAGGAGTCTGCTTGTCCCTCTCCCTCTACCCCTCCCCACCCTACTCACCCCACCCCTCCCTCTCTAATAAATAAATAAAATCTTAAAAAAAAAATATCTAGCAGATTATAATTAGGCAATTAAATCTAGAGAGCTAAGCCCCCTTCCTTTATTATTCAAAAAGTATCATGATAATTCTCAGCTTCCTCCTACTTCTGTGTGAATTTTAGAACAAACTGCTCAAGTTCTATAAAAATCCTGTTGGGAATTATATGCATTTCCTTTATTATTTCCTGTATTACACTGAATTTATAAATGACTTTGAGGAGAATTGCCACATTTATTATACTGGGGTTTTCTATATATTGTATACACCTATCCACTTATGTAAGTCCTTACAAGAAATTTCATATTTTCTCCATAAATTTCATAGCACCAGATAGTTTATAGTTTTTGTTCCTAATGTGAATTATTTCCCTATCACTGTGGAGATTCAAGCAGAAGCTCTATGGTAGATAAAAAGGTTTCTATAGAGCATAAGTTGTTTCCCAGAAGTCAGAACAACCTAAACATTCAAGGGTTTTTTACATTGCTATTAGTTGTTAAAATGAAATTAAGATATAAAGCAAGCTGATTCTGTGCTGATAATTAGAATTGAAATAATTTGAGATACTATCATATATAAACTATAAATTAAACTTTAAAATAACCATAAAATTTTTAGTCTTCTCAATGACCAGCTGAATTTTTAAGTGCTAAATATTCAAATATATCAATCCTATTAGACATTCTTTATCTTCATTATTCTATTTTTGGGCTCTTTCTACTATAATACTTTCAAGATATTTCTGTATTAAAACTTTGGATTTTAATGTAAAATTTCCCACAGCTAGCAAAAAGTATTTTCAGTAATGATTTATGTTTCTGCGTATGAAACATGGATTTTTAAAAGAATGCTTTAAACATTTTCATGATAAAAACACACAGCTAACTAGGACTAAAAGGGATCCCTTCCTGATTATGGCAAGAGGAGGGGGAAAGTAAACATTTTGAAATACAGATTATTCTGCTCTCCTCACAAAAGCCTGTACTCAAAGGAAACTATCTTATCAGAGGCTTATCAACTTGGACTTACCAGAGCCTGTCAATCTGAGGGAAGGGAAATACTCATCTCCAGCACCTTCTAGTTTTTGACATAGAGGAAGACAAATACAGAACTCAGACTCACAGAAGATTGAGATCTAATCAAGGGCTAAACCATAGATCTTCTCTCCCTCACCTTACCACATGGGTCTGTCTCTTGCATGAATATGAGGGATTGCCGATGAAAGAAGTGTAAGGCTCAGACCCTGTTTAAGAAGGAGTTTCTAGGGAAACCTGAAGATAGCCGGAGGATGAAAACAAGAACACTAGATGCAATTTTAGCCTCTAATATCACAGCTACAGCAAATAGTAAACACAGCCTCACTTCTAGTCAGAGAGACATGAAACCTCACCCAAAAGGCCGATTTGCCTCATTCCTTTTATCCAATACATCATGTGTGGCATTCAACAAAAAGTTATAGGGGAGCTTAAGACAAAAATCACAGTCTGAACAGACAGAGCAAGCATCAGAATCAGACTCAGACTCAGATATGACAGAAATTTGGGAATTTCCTGACTAGAAATTTGAAATAACTATGATTAATATGCTAAAGATTCTAGTGGTAAAAGTAAATGACATGTTTACTTTTTACAGATGGACAATGGAAGCAGAGAGATAGAAACTCTAAGAAAGAATCAGAAGGAAATGTTAGCAATAAAAAAAACCACTGTAACATAAATAAGGAATGCTTCTGATGGGCTCATCAGTTGTCTGAACATGCCCAAGGAAATAACTAGTGAATGTGAAGATATGTCAATAAAAACTTCCCAAACTGAAAAACAAAGAGATAAAAGAATGAAAAAAATAAAATAAAATACCAAGAACTGTGGGGCAATTATAAAAGGTATAACATACATGGATTGGGAATACCAGAAATAGAAAGAAGAGAGAAAGAAACAGAAAATCCTTGAAATAATTATTGGTGAGAATTTTCCAATATTAATCACAGACATCAAAATTAGACCCAGACCTCAAAAAACACCAATCATGATAAATCCCAAAAATCTACACCTAGGCATTTCCTGTGCAAACTGTTTTCAAAAGAAAATCTTGAAAGAAGCCAGAGAGGATAAAAAAACAAAAACAAAAACACCCTCACCTATACAGGAACAAGGATAATAACTACATTGGACTTCTCTTTCAAAACTATGAAAGCAAGAACAGAGTGGAGTGAAATACTTAAAGTGTTAAAAGGAAAAAACACCAAGCTAGAATTTTGTATCCAGTGAAATTATTCTCCAAGTGTAAAGGAGAAATAAATGCTTTCTCAGACAAACAAAAATTGAGGAAATTTGTTGCTCTCACACCTGCCTTGCAAGAAATGTTAAAAGTTCTTCAGAGAGAAGTAAAATAATGTAGATTAATAACTCAGATATACATAGAGAAGAGAAAGGAATAACATTAAAGAAGGAATGAATAAGGATTAAATGATATATTTTATTTTTCTTATTGGTTTAACAGATATGGTTTTTTCAAAATATAATAGCAATGATGTGTTAGGTGATTATGGGCTATGGACAAATGCAATGTATGACAGCAATATAAGAGATTGGAGAGAGGAACTGGAAATACTGTTGTAAGGTACCTGTCCTACCCATGACATGGTATAGTATTATATGACAGTGGGCAATTTAGTGGTAAATGTAAATTGTGAACTCTAAGACAACCACTAAAAACATTTTTAAAAGAGGTATAATTGAAATGCTAAGAAAGGAGAGAAAATAGATCAGTTAAAAACCAGACAAGGCAGGAAAAAAAAGTGGAAGACAAAGAAAAAACATAAGAAAGGGCACAAATAGAAAATAGTTACAAGTATGAAAGATATTAAACTAGTAATAACTGTAAAAGTGTATGATCTAAATATACCAATTAAAGGACAGACACTGTATGAGTGGTTTAAAAAAAAAAGACAACTCTATGTTGTCATAAGAAACACACATTAAATATGAAGACACAAATAGATTAAAATAAAAGGATGGAGTTGGCTAATTGAATTTAAATAAATAAAAATTAAAAAAATAGAGGGATGGAGAAAGATACACATACTAACACTAATAAAAGAAGCTGGAGTAGCTATATTAATTTCAGACAAAACTGACTTCAGATGAAGGAAAATTACCAGGAATAAAAAGAGGCATTGCATGATAATAAAGGAGTCAGTTTTCTAAGAAGACGTAACAATCTTCAGTGCACCTAACAACAGAGCATCAAAATATATTAGACAAGAACTCATGGAACAGCAAAGAGAAATAGATGAATGTACTATTATAGGTATGTAATATATTAATATATTAATTGAAAAATGGCCAAGACTTCTCCAAAAGAAGATATACAAATAATCTAAAAACACATGAAAAGATGTTCAACATCATTAACCATTAAAGAAATGCGAATTAAAATCACAATGAGATACTGCTTCATACCCACTAGGATGGTTATAATAAGTTACAGATAGTAACAAGTGTTGACAAGGATGTGAAAAAAATGGAACCCTCTAACACTGGTGGTAGGAATGTAGAATGGTGCAGCCACTTTGGAAAACTAGTCTGGCAGCTTCTCAAATGGTTATATAGAGTTGCCATATGACCCAGCAATTTCATGCCCAGGTATATGCATAAGATAAATTAAAGAATGTGTCCACATGAAAACTTGTATGATTACTTATGGAAGCATTATTCACGATAACCAAGTGGAAACAATCCAAATGTCCTTCAACAGAAGAATGGATAAACAATCAGGTATCTATGCAATGGAATACTATTTAGCAATGAAAAGTAATGAAATACTGGTACGTGCTACAATATGGGTGAATCCTGAAAACATTAAGCTAAGTGAAAGAAGCAAGTCACTAAAGACCACCTATTTTATGATTCTATTTATATGAAATATCCAGAGAAGGTGAATCTATAGAGACTAGAAGTAAATTAGCGGCTGCATAGGGCTGGGGGAGAGAATAGGAGGGTAACAAAGAGTGAAGACTAATGGATATGGGGCTTGGGGGGGTGGTATTTTGAAAATATTCTGTGTTAATTGTGGTGACGGTCTTACAATTCTCTGAATATACTAAAAACTGTAGCTTATATACTTTGAATGGGAGAATTGTAGGGTATGTGAATTATCTCTCAATAAAGCTGTTGTATTAAGAAAAAAATAAATAAACAAGGAATGCTTCAAAGTCTAATTCAATCAGCCAGTATGTCAAATTTATGTTTTACCAATAGAGTGACCCTGGCAACATGAAAGTGGCTCAGTTGGTTAAGCGACTGCCTTCGGCTCAGGTCATGATCCTGGAGTCCCGGGATCGAGTCCCGCATCGGGCTCCCTGCTCAGCAGGGAGTCTGCTTCTCCCTCTGACCCTCTCCCCTCTCATGCTCTCTCTCTCTCTCAAATAAATAAATAAAAAATCTTTAAAAAAAAAAAAGTAAGTTAATTACTTTAGCTGTTATGCTCTAAGTTATGATGTACTTAATGACTATTGATACAAATGTAGACATTGTCTTTCTTACTCTTACTCAATAGGAAAGAAACTTACATCTATGAGTGTCCAAAGGAAATATATTCAAGAGGTAAAGAAGTACTCCTGGCCTCAAGATCTAAGAAGATGATCAGAAAATACCTCCCTAGAACTGAAAACAAGTAGGATCATAACAACGTACATGGAATTATCTATAAGAATCATTTCACAGAACTAGTTGACCCTGACCCGTCTTTGGTGTCAGATTCTAATATTTACCTAACAGTCTGCAGAGAATAGCCATTTAACTGCAACAACAGTTATAACTAATACAACATCAGCTAGAACTGTGGAAATTAACACGAGTCATGAAGCAGAAGATTAGATGCTCTGGTGGCTAATATAAAGTAAGAAAAATAACAGTTGAAGGACAACTGGAAGGACAAGTTTTTCTAGGTGGCATACAGTTGTTCCAAGCCCAGAAAACTAGAATTGATGACATAGACTTAAGGAAAAGAAAAGAAAAAAAGTGAAGAACAAAATTCTTTTAGGCCATTACAGCTTGAGAGATAACAGCTTTTTAAAAAAAATCCAATTCCCTCTGATCAAATGTACAAATGATCAAATGACCTATGTACAACAGTCCTCTCATGTATCATTTGCCCTCCTAATGGGTCCATTTTTCATGAAGTACCCTTCTTCAGTGGGGTACCTAGTTCTCAAGATAGGTCTCCCCTGACAGAGATGTAATGAATAGCAAGGTCTAGTCCCAGCCCCCCAGAAGTTTGGCCCACGTGATTCAATACCCAGGAGCTCATCGCTCCTCGGTGAACTGGAAAACATCCTGTGGGGGAAAGGGACACCAATGAATATATTTGACAATTTTCAATGTGATTTTAACGTCACAGAGCCTGTCATTTGCATAAGTGACAAAGGCTAAAGAGATATCCTAGTCACACTAAACACAAACATTGTGTATTTTGATGCCTGTAATTTTAACCTCATAGTCATGGAGAGAAAATGCAGTAGTTTGTTAAATAGTACAATAGTACTTTGTTAAAGTATCTAAAACTGATTAGATTTCCATTCAGACCTTCCAAGCACTGTATGCTGCTCATTACTCACTCTGACTATACAGACAATCTGTAATGTGGCACTCACCCAGGTCAAAAACCTCTAAGACCAGTTAGGAAAAACTGGCCCATGATAGACCTTCTACCATTTATTACTGCTCTTTGAAGTTGAAGAAAAAGAATCAACATCAAGCCCTGCCAATTATACATAGTTATCTACCTTCCTTGGAAAGCAGAGGATCTTAAAACATTCAACCCCAATATTTCATTCATCTATTCAATTAATACTTGCTGAACGCCGACTGTGTGCCAGGTACTGTGTACATGCTGGAGACTAGCATTCAACTGATGAATGAACCAGTCGGCTTAAGGCCATGCCATGCCCTGCCCTTGCCACCCACCCACATGACCTGGCAAAGGCAAACGTACTTACTCTTTGACTTCCTTATCACCTATGACTTCCAGATTAAAACTTAAAACTAAAATATAAAATATATCAGTTTGATTGAAAAGGAACTATACAATCTTTCAAGTTCCAGAGGCCAGTTTTCCTTTCTTGCTTTTTTCTTTTTTTAAGATTTTATTTCTGAGAGAGAGAGGGTGTGTGGCGGCGGGGGGGAGGAGGGGGGCGGTGGAGCAGAGGGAGAGGGCTCAATCAGGCTCGGCGCTGAGTATGGAGCCTGATGTGAGGTCGACCTCAGAGTCCCGACATCATGACCTGAGCCAAAACCAGGAGTCAGAAGCTTAACCCACTGAGCCACCCAGGCGCCCCTAGAGGCCAGTTTTCAATTGCCCAGATTTCTTCACAAACAACCTGCTGGGAACATGAGGAAGAGGAGGGTTACATAAATCAGTTTGTCCCTTCACTGTGCTGTATCAACAGACGCTGAATAATCATCCATGAGGGCTCCTGCAGCATCTTCCTGCACTTGGTGTGAAGCTAGGTTAGGTTCCTAATTTCTCAACAAGATGACTTTGAAAAAAAAGATGAACCTAATGATGTCAAGAAAATCCCCCAGTCTATCAGGGCACCTGTGGCTCAGTCAGTTAAGCATCTGCCTTTGGTTCAGGTCATGGTCCCAGGGTCCTGGGATTGAGCCCTGCATCCGGCTCCCTGCTCAGCAAGGAGTCTGCTTCTCCCTCTCTCCCTACCTCATGCTCTCTCTCTCTCGCTCAAATAAATAAATAAAATCTTAAAAAAGAAAAGAAAAGAAAATCCCCCAGTCTAAATCTGTTCTGGCCATGTTCCTGCAGAAATGAAATGCAGAGTTCATGGAAGCAAATGACAAAAGAACCCAAGCCAAGAAACTAAGATAAGAATTGGCCCAGGAGCCACAAGATCCCTGAGGCCACCACAAACAAATTCACAATGACCTTCCAATGACAATAGTCCAGGGTGCACGAGATCCCCTGGGACAGTAACCACCAGAGAATAGCACAATAAAAGCAATGAAATACCATGACTAATCTAAGCAATTAACAGAAAAATATTCAGGGATATGGAAAATATTACCAATTTATTGCAGAGTGAAAAATTTTATGATTTGAGCAGTATTTTTATGGGGAAAATTTGACAGAGATTTTGGGTGGGGGAGATTTTTAAATTTTTATGGGAAAAAATGTATGTATGTGTATTAAAAACCTACAATGGAATACTACATAGACAATACACATATGTGAAGAAAGAGGTTGGAGGATTATACACCAGAATTTAGTCATTAGCCCAATATTACAGATGACTATTATTTACTATTCTGGCTTAGTTTTGTGTGATAAACATGTATTTCTTTTGGATGGGAAAAGTTATAAAAAGGGGTAACAAAATTGAAGTGATTACGATATGATTCAGAAATGAAAGAAATATTTTGAATATTGTAAAAAACCCATTTTATGAATTTTCAGTATAAGATAGCTTTATACTTCTGAAGGAAAAAAAAAACAATTTAACTGAGCTTTTTTTTGTTAAGATTTTATTTATTTGAGAGTGAGCAAGCAAGAGAGTGAGAGAGAGAGAGAGAGCACGCACAAGCAGGGAGAGAGGGAGAAGCAGACTCCCCATTAAGCTGGGAGCCCGATCGGGCAACAGGACTCGATCCCAGGGACCTGGGATCATGACCCGAGCTGAAGGCAGACACTTAACCAACTGAGCCACCCAGGCGCCCCATTTTAACTGAGTTTTTTAAAATGACATCAAGATATGAAAACATTGGTAAATGTATGTTTTCACATATTTAACTTGGCATGTAGAATACATATCAGGTATGTTACCTTTTCAATATTATCATAACATTCTTCCAAACTCCGCATTCTGTCTTGGATAACTGTACTAGCTTTTTTATACTGCGTCAACCACTGCTGATATTCTTCCTCAGTTAAATCTGCATAAGCAACACAGAGAGTTCTCAGCCCTGTAAGAAAGAATGGAATGTAAACTGATCAAGCCACCAGCGATCAGAGAGGAGTACAGAATTTGAAAACAAAATCCAAAAGTGTAGAGGTCATGGGAATGTGAAGTCCTTCACACGGCCTTACCTGATCTGTCCCCGGCTACCTTGCTGATCTTAATCCCCTCCCCGCCCCCGCCCCCCCCGCCCCCTCCTCATTGCTTACGGTCCTGTCTCTGCTGATCCTCTTACTTCTAGACACTTGAACTTGTTCTGCCCTTAACCTGGAATACTTTCACCTGGTATTCTCCTTCTCTTCCTTTAGTCTCTGTCTAACTCACCCTACAGAGATAGCACCCCCATCATACTCTGTTCCCCTTATCCTGTTTAATTTTTCTCCATAGCACTTATCACCCCCTGACATTATCTATTATTGGCTAATTTCTTCAGAATATGAACTATGTTTTGTTCACTTCTGTCCTAGAAGCTTAGAACAGTGCACAGCACTTAATAAATACTCAATAACTATTTGTTGGAAGAAGGAAAGAATGAATAAGGCTTTAGTTTTTCAATTTCAAAGTAAGCCAAATTATCATTAAAATAACAGAAAATTAATTTAAGTCCCGTTTTTGCAAAGAAAAAATTTTAGAAATTATATTGTATCCTAATATTTTAGGCTAACTCCTGCAAAACATTCAAATAGTTGAGGATCCCCTAGAAATTAAAGCTCTACAGATAAGGTATAGAAGTTGTTATTCTGTTTTGAGCTCCATTACAATACAGTTCCTATATGCTTCTACCTGTTGTAACCTGCCTACAGCTCACTTATATTTTAAGATGGCAGCAAAAGGCCCAAAGTGCAACCTTGCAAAATATCCAGCAGCTTACAAACTGGAAGGACAAAGTGGGATACTGCTTCCAGGTATTATTAGCTTTACTTTTATGTGATATTACACCTTCATTTTTCAAAACTTCTATAAACTTTTTTAGTGAGTGTTGTTCTTATTCAAAACTCACTCATGGAATTTTATTTCTTGAGGTGGGTGACAAGTCAAAATCAGAAGGATAAGAAGAGAATGACAGGAAAACATCAACTATGTCAGGTTTCTGAGTTATATGCACAAAGTTTGAAATATACCACACATACTGGAAAAACCTCTCTTTTTCCATTAGGGGCCAAGTTCCTACTACAACAAATAGAAACAGATAATAAATGTCTTTGAAGACACTGTTTTTGGAATAAAGGAAGAACTACACAGTAAAAACATACTTTTCAACATTTGCTGGTGGAGAGAGGAAGAAAGGAAAAATAATATCTCAACAGGGTGTGTTTGAGGAACCATTTATTTTTTAAGCAAACAGAAGGCATTACAAAGTCACATATAGGAATGAGCTCCCCTTGCCCACCTATGGGCCAAGCATCAGTGACGTGCATTCAGGTTACGATTTTAATATTTAAGAATAGCATTTCAAAAAGAAACAAGATTCTAAACAATGTTCACTTACCTTCTTTGGCAAAATATTCCAGGTGGGTTAATGTCTCCTTCATAAAGCGAGAATCTTCTGAAAGTCTCTCATAAATCACTGTATCCTATCCGAAAAAAAAAAAAAAGTTCTTGTGACCAATATCTTACCTAAGCCTAACAATCCAAATTCTAAATACTGCATTATAATTTTATTGTTATATCTAATAGATATGAAGGAACCCAAAAAGCCCCAGGGAAGGCACAATTCCAAAAAGGATACATTACATACAGAGGAACAGAGATAACAGATTGCTCATTGAGAATGCAAGTGAAGCACAAGCTTTAAAAAACTGAAAGAAAAAAATTGTCAACCTAGAATCCTATATTCAGCAAAAATTTCAAAATGAATGCAAGAGAAAATAAAGATGAAATAAAAATCTTTTCAGACATAAACAGTCTGAAAAAACTTATCACCAACAGATCCATGCTATAAGGTGTGGTAAAAGGAATCCATCAGACAGAAGGAAATTAGAGCAAATGAAAATATGAGTCTGAAGAGCATTGAAAATGGTAATGACATGAGTCTATGTGTGTATATATACACATATATATGTATACGGATATATATATACAATATTTTTCTTGTTATATATTTTATTAAAAAAGGATAACTGCTTGAACAAACTTAATGTAGTGTGAAGTTTATAACATTTGTAAAATTAAAATGTCTGACAAGAGCACAAAGATTGGGAGGAGAGAGATAGAAGTTCAGAATTGTAATTCTTATACTACACATGAAATAGTATATTATCACTTGAAAATAGAAAGTAATAAATTGAAGATGCCTACTAACAACCACTAAAATTTTTTTTTAAAGGAAGAAATTGGAATTATAAAATACTCAAGTAATTCTTGGAATAAAGGAAAAAAGAACTGGGACAAATAGAAAATAAATTGAAGGATATTGTATTTAAACCTAGCTGTATCAGTAAGCACACATGTAAATGGTCTAAACATCCAGTTAAAAGGCAGAGATTTCCAAAACACAAACCAACTACATGCTCCCTGGAAGAATCACACTTTACATATAAAGGCACAAATGGGTTAAAGAGGAAGAAAAAGATATACCCTACCCAACACTAATCAAAAGTAGCCTGGAATGGCAATATTATAACCAGACAATAGAGATTTCAGAGTAAAGAGAATTGCCAGGGATGAGGAAAATCATTTTGGAATGACAGAAGGGTCAATTCATCAAGAGGAACTAGTAATTCCGAATGCTTATGCATCTAATAAATTAGTTTCAAAATGAAGCTAAACTAATAGAAGTAAATGCAATGTCGTAAAAACTAACAGAACTACAAGATGAAAATCATAAATCCACAATGACAGTGGGGATTTCAATATCCCCCTATCAATTATCTATCAATAATTGATAGAACAAGTAAATGAAGCATCATTAAGGATATAGAAGATTTGAACAACACTATCAATCAACTTGACTTAACAGATAGTTATAAACTACTTCACCTCAAAAGAGCAGAATATTCAGGCTTTTTAGGTGCATGCAAAACATTTAACATTAGATAAGTCACAATGTGAGCCATAAAACAAGTCCCAATTAAATTAAAAGGATTCATGTCATATAAAGTGTGTTCTCTAATAAAATCGAATTATGTTATAAATCAATTAAAGGGATATTTCCAGAAAATTCCTAAATATTTGAAAACTAACCCACTTCAAAATAACCCATGAGCCAAAGAAGAAATCAAAAGAAAACTTAGAATATTAGAATATTTTGAACTGAATGAAGATGAAAATGCAGCACATCAAAATTTGTGACATGCTGCTAAAGCAAAGATTTGGAGGATATTTATAGCACTAAACATTTGTATTAAAAAGAAAGGTCTCAAATCAAGTTCTGCCTTAAGAAGCTAGAAAAAGAGGAGCAAATCAAACCACAAGTAGGCAAAAGAATGGGAATAATAAAGAGTAGAAATTAATGAAACAGAAGACAGAGAAACATTCAAGAAAAATCAAATCTGAAAGCAATTTCTTTAGGAAGATCAATAAAACCTATACGTGAAAAAATAAATAAAACTAATAACTGTCTAGCTAGCCTACCCCCAGGTCCAGATGGCTTTCTGGTAAATTCTAGCAAACACTTAAAGAACAAATAATCTCAATTCCATGCACACTTTTCCAGAAAACTGAAAAGGAAAGAGTCCTCCCCGTTAATTTCATAGGGTCAGCATTAAAAATCAAACAAAGACATTACAAGAAAAGAAAATTAAAGATCACTATCCCTTTTGAAAGTAGATGCAAAAATTCTAAATAAAACTTTAGGAAAGTGAATCCAACTATACAGAAAAAGGATAATATATCATGAACAAATGGGGCTTATCTCAGGAATACAAGATAGGTTTAACGTTAAAAAATCAATTCAATGTAATTTACCATATTAACAGGCACAAAAGAAAAAATCATATTAGTATCTCAATCAAATCAAGAAAACTATTTGACAAAATTTAACATCCATTACTGATTTTTTTAAAATCTCAGCCAACTAGGAATCGGAGGAAATTTCCTTAATATGATAAAAAGCATCTTCAAAAAAAAGTATGAAACTCATATGGAAATGCAAAGGTTCCAGAACATTCAAAACAACTTTGAAAAAGAACAAAGTTGGAAAATTCATGATATCTGATTTTAAGACTTATTATAAAGTAATATAATCAAGATACTGTGGTATTGGTATAAAGATAACCAACAAAACAATGAGAGAAAACAGAAAGTCCAGAAATAGACCCACATATATATAAACAGTTCATTTTTTAAAAAGTGCAAAGGCAATTCAGTGAAGAACGAATAAACAGATTAATAAATGGTGCTGTGAAATTAGATATTCATCTGTAAAAAAGAACTCCTACTCATGTCTCATACCATATCCCAAAATCACTCAAGATGGATCCCAGAAGTAAGTGTAAAACCTAAAGCTATAAAAGGAGGATAAAACAGGAGGAAATCTTTGTGACCTTGAATTAGGCAAAAATTTGTTAGCTAGGACACTAAAAGCATGACCCATAAAGGAACAAATTGTTAAACTGGACTTCATCAAAATTACAAATTCCTGTTCTTCGGAGACCTGTTAAGAGAATGAAAAAAGCCACAGATATTTGCAGATCATGTATCTAATAAGGGACTTATATCCAAAAATTAAAAAAGAATTCTCAAAACTCAATACAAAGAAACACAAACAGTTATAAAAACAGGGACAAATATTTAAACAGACATTTCACCAAAGAAAATAAGTGGATGGTGCACAGAAAAGAGTTACCATAATAGGTCAGAGAATGTTATCCTTAGAAAGACCTCCTTACAAGTTTGGTTCTTGGCTAGCGTCTAAGGGACTTGGCTGGTATTCAATTCTTTGAGCTGATATAAACTTTCCCTGTATAACACCCATGGGAAGCCTGCACATGGATTCCTCCAGACTCTGCCTGTCTTTTTCCCTTATAATCTGGTTGTGCATCCTTGCTACTTTACTATAATACATCTTAGCCATGCATATAATCATGAATCCTTTTAGAGATCCACTAAAAACATATGGGTAATCTTGAGAACCCCCAACACAGATGGCAAATAAGAACATGAAAAGATGCTCACTATAATCAGTCATGGCATGGAAATGTAAATTAAAATAGCAATGAGATACACACCTATGAGAATGGCTAAAATTAAAGAGACTAACCATGCCAAGTGCTGGTGACAACTGCTGGTAGGAATGTGACCACAGTTTGGTGGTTTCTTAAAAAGTTAAAATACACCTACTATTGATCTAGCCATTTTACTGCTAGATATTCACCAAAGAGAAATGAAACTATGTGCCCATACAAGGACTTGTACACAAATGTTTATAGGAGCATTGTTTGTAGTAGACAAAACTGCAAACAAAAAGTCCATTAACAGGTGACGGATGAACAAACTGATATATCCATACAATGGAACACCACTCAGCAATATGAAGAAATGAACTATTAATATGAGCTACAACATGAATGAATTTTAAAATAATTATGAGTAAAAGAAGCCAGACAAAAAGCCATATATCCTACGTGACTTTATATAAAATTTAGTAAACGCAAATGAGTCGAGTGACAAAAAGCACATTGGTGTCAAAACTTATCAAAATGTACACTTTAAATATGTGCAGTTTATTTTATGTCACTTTTACCTGAATAAAGCTGTTTTTCTTTTAATTGCCTATGGCTGTGAACAAATATATGTGCTAAAAAAAAAAAAAGGTTTTTATGGAGGTTAAGCCATTTCCTGAGATTTACCAAATCCAAACACTTTGGGCTGGAAACTGGGATCAAAATTCCTGCTAATAAACCCTTAGCCTCAACAATCTAACCGTTAGTTCTCCACAGAACAACTGAGTGACAACAAATTTGTCACTGACATTAAAGCTTAATAAACACTCTGGTGTGAACCACCATAAATTTCAATGGGCTTGACTGTTGGGGAAGCTTTGGGGCTACTCTGTTTCAGTCTTGGATAATGCTCTCAACAACAGCCCAACAGCAGACACAAAGTAACACCATTTTAAAATATTGTGAAGTTGTAAAAGGCTTCCTACAAATTGTTGAAACAGAGGGAAGGAGTTAATATGAATAATGAATCCCTATACTCACAGCCCCTTTGCAGTAGAGCCGGAGATTTCCTGTAGGAGTTCGGACAATTACAGACATCCTTTTTCTATTACTAAAACAATATAAAAATTATTATTAGCTTCTATGTTCCTCAGTACATGGTGCTAAGGCACACACACAAAACCAAATTTACAAGTCCTCAGCTGACCGTTAGTGAAAAGGCCAATGTGTTTCTTGCCAGTCTCCTTTCCTGATTTACCTACATTTTAAACTGAGATTCTTTAAAAAAAAAAAAAAAAGAGGGGCACCTGGGTGGCTCAGTCATTAAGCATCTGCCTTTGGCTCAGGTCATGATCCCAGTATCCTGGGATCGAGCCCCGCATCAGGCTACTTGCTCAGCAGGGAGCCTGCTTCTCCCTCTCCCTCTGCCTGCTTGTGTTCCCTCTCTCACTGTCTCTCTCTGTCAAATAAATAATTTATTTACTTATTTGACAGAGAGAGCACAAGCAGGGGGCGCCCCCAATGTGGGGCTCAATCAGGTTTGGTTTCTTTTCTTTTTTTCCTTCTTCCACATCTTGTCATTCCCCGACCATAACCCTTGGATGGCTCTCCATGGCCTATAACCACTTTTTAAGAGACCCAAACAAACTGTCACTCAGCACCTTCTCAGATAATCGTCATATCCCACAACTCTATGTGTCGTACGATCCAAGGAGGGTCCCAGTGAGTAATCCTACACCCGAGCACTTGAGCTAGAAAGTACTTGTCAAAAGGGACAGGGACTAGCAATTGCTTTACCTACTTAGCTGTTAGAACACTACTCAAGGCAATTGAGTTATTTAAGTGTCACCTAGCTAGGAGCTCATATTTTAAGGACAGGAAATGAGTGTTCCAGTAGTAGGGAAAGCTAAAATGAACATTAAGATACATTGTCTTATAAAAAAAAGTTTTTAGAAAAAGCTTTCCTAGAGAAAAGAAGCTGACAACAACTTTACTGAGGTTCAAAGCTTTTTTTTTTTTTTAATGTGTCATTGGCCAACAAGGCATTAAAAAAACATGATTTAAAAAGTTATCTGGCTTTGAAAAGAATGAATTATTCCTTTTCTAAATTTCTAGCATTTCCTTTTCTAACTTTTCAGATTCTACATTAGAAATGCTCAGATGGTCTAAGAGATGAGACTTTGTGAGTCTTCAAAACAGGGCAATGAAAATAAAATCATCACCAATATTCCCCCGCTAGGCTTTGGGGATCAGGCCACAGTGGCTGGACCAGGAGGCCCTCTGAAGTCTACGGGGAGAGAAGGATTTGTATGCACATTGTTTCCTTTGGGGGAGACAAAAAGGAATTAATTCACTATCTCTTTTTAAAGAAATAGTGTTGGGTTTATTTGGAAAAATAATATCCAATATTCATCCATTCATCAAATATTTATTGAGCACTTACTTCCACAGAAGGTGACTCCCACCCTCCTGGAACTGAGAGTCGAGTTGGCAACACAGTCAGTAAGTAGTAACCCAGATGTAGACCTCAAGTCTGATTCTGACAAGTGCTAGGAAGGAGAGGTATGGGACCTCCTCTCAGCTACAAAAAGGGATTTGGCCTAATGATGCCCAAAGAAGGGAGCACCAGGCTCAGATTAAAGAGTGGATGGAAGCTAACTAGAATTTTGTGATTCTATATCAAAGTTTTGATTTGCATTACCAAATCTCAACTGAAGAGTCACAGAAGGAGCCCCGGGGGATACATGAACAGAATGAAAAGGTATCTTACCTAGAAAACTCCAGGACATTAAGAATTTCAAATGTGAAGTTTTCTCCCATCTACAGGAAGATAAGACAACATCTTCTTACCCGAGGGGGGAAAAAAAAAAGTACTCATCCTGCAAAAGAGCTCATTCTCCCAATCAGAAAAAAGTTTTACCTACCCTACAACTACACCTTTTTCAAAATAACACATTTCCTTGCAAACCTGATGAAATAATGGTGCCCTCTTCTGGCAAGAACATTGTTTGCAAACTGGGGGACTATTGGCAAAAATACTTCTCATAGGGCAGACTTAAGACTAAAACACCTCTTTCAATATAAAATCAGCACTACCAGAAACATTTTATGAATACTCTCATGTTGCAAGGTTATATGGAGTAAGTGAGACAATCAACAGCAGAAATGGGAAAACAAGTCTTTTCATAAAATTGCACAGATCAAACAAAATCCTTAATCGTTAGCTAATTTGAAGAGGTAACCAGGGAAAGAGATGGCATGCTATAAAATTCTATATCAATTAAACCTGCATTCTTTTCTAAATTTTTCCAGTTACAGCCTCTTGATTTCCTGTAGCCATGATCAATTCACCAATAAGGCAATTCAGAATTTCAAATAATTTGAGAGTTGTCCATGTGGCACATACTACAGATATAAAGATGAATCAGTCAGTCCATTCTAAGGACTGAATGTCTAGTAGGCATCCCTAACTACTAGGAAAAAAACTGAGTGTGTTGGGCACCTTGTTCACATTGCTTCAATTCTTCCCCATAATATCAAAGGCTTGTGGTAAGTGGTCATCAAGACAAAACAAGAAAAATAGATACATAACATATATTACATATAATGAACAAATCAACACAAGAGAACTCACCAAAAAAGCTTGAAAATTTTTAATTTTTCATTAAAAAAATAATATATTTCTTGAAGATCTGATGATTCTTTTTGAAATAGCTCACTTTTATTGAGCACTCTCTCTGCTCCAAGCACTAATTCCAATTACTTTACATATATTAACTCATTTAATCCTCACAAAAACCCTATGACATGCATGATAAGAAGATTGGGGCAAACACAGCAGTTAAGAAACATGCCTGAAAATATGGCTGAAAAAGTGTGGGTCCAGGTGGGAATCCCAGGCAGAGATTCCAGAGCTTCTCTGCTCAACTACTCTACTTGTGTCTCTCTGGAAGGGGCGTGTAAACCCTGAGAAAATATGTAAGACGTTACTCACAGCTTCTACGGTGACAGAGGTTGGCGTTCTTGTAGTAAAAACAAAGCCAAGCTTCTTCACTCCCTTCACTAAAGCTGCTTCATCTGTCAATAAAAAGTCTGTATTAATGGAGATGGAGCAAATACGTTAATACCGAATTTGATTAAAACAGATTTCCATTCTCCAGTACTAAAACACCATATTTTTTTAAACTTGGCTTTTTTTTTTTTTTTGATCCAAATGCACTTATCTAGGTACCAGAAGGCATTCATAAAAGAGGAAATTTGGTTAAGTAGGCCTTTTTTAGTGGGGTTAAGATATAGTTCTTTCTTAGTACTCATTATGGTTTTGTTCTAAAGCCATTAATAGAATCTCCACAACATGGTGCAGTGCCTTAACCTTACTCCTGCCTTGTTACTGGTTATAAGTAAATGTTCTATTGAACCCCAGCTCAGAGAGCCCTCCTGACCAGCCTCCTTATGGCAGTCTTTGGGGGTGTAGGGAGGAGCCCCAGTAACTACCCAGTACCATGAATACCCCTGACCCGTGAGAAGTCTGGGGAAGGAGCAACACAGGAGCAATCCAGGGATCAGCAGGAGTATATCGCCTCTTCTCAGGGCTCACCACCTACCAGGAGCTCTAGGGGCACACAGCACCTACCTGGGGAGGAAGCCTGGTAGATTATATTCTTTCCGTCTCTCTCAGGAACAACAGTGTGGCACACACATAACAGGGTAAGAAATTCCTTTATATAATCTTTCGTGGGCTATAAAAAAGGCACAGAGCTAATGAGTCTCTTCCAAGACCAGTGACATAAGACTTAATATAGAGTCTGCAATTTGTATCAACTGTGGTTTCACTTCAGGTACACAGAGTCAGGCACTGACTAAAAACCGTATCATGCATTCAAAATGTGTTTGTGGAGTGGCCACCGAGGTAGAGACAGTGCAGGGCTGGGGAGACCTCAGTGAAGATGACCCTGCTCTCTTGGAGCTTCTAGTCTCACTGGGGAAAGAGGTTTCTCAAAGCTTGGAGTCAAAAATAGGGGTTGTTACAGAGAATAGAGGGACCTATTTTAGGGAGGTGATGGGGGGAATACATCGAGGAGATAATATTTAAATTAAGACCTAAATGGAAAGATTAGTTAGCTGTGTTCACTGACATGTGACTGTGGTACATACTAGGCAAAGGGAATAGCACTTTCAAAGGCCCTGAGTCAGGAAACAGATTCATAGGTTTGTGAACTTCAAGGCAAGTGTGACTCCAGCAGCTTGAACAAGCAGAACAATGACACAGAATGAGGATGGAGAGAAAGTCACAGTAATGAATTAGGATTTTATCTTAAGAGGGGGTGCCAGTTCACTGAAGGTTTTTAAGCAAAGGAAGGGCATGTACAGCTTTATGTTTTAAAAGATCACTTTTATTTTTGAGAAGATCAAGATTTCAAATCAAGTAGATCAGTATCTTAAAACTGGTAAGTGAAGATATTGGTAACATACAATAGAACCAAATAGCTTAGAAGCATTTAGAGATTTTCTTACATAGATTGCTACATAGTAAAATATTCTTTCTTAATGTTTGGATTCATTGACACTAACAAGTTTAGTACACTCCTCCTAATATCAGTATGAAGTCCACTGTTTATTAACATCAAAAAAAATTTCAAGACTCTGTCCTGGCTGAGAAAATTATACCTTTTAATAAACCATATATATATTTTTTAAAGTTATGTAGCATTACCCCTGTTGGCTTTAAGTGAAAATAGCAGACTTACGTGGTCATTTTCAAAGTTCTGCAGTAATTTTGGGTCATTAAATTCACAGGACTCTGTGATGACAGAGGGTGACAGACTGAGGAAGAACAGAGAAGATTTGTTGTAACTAAAATTCCTGATGGGGCCAGTCAGCAATCAAATGGACCTCAAGTGAACACGTTTTCAGTAAGTTACAGTATCAAGTTTGTAGAGCTTGAATAACATGGGTATCAACTGTGCAGATCCACTTATACACAGATTTTTCTCGTACAGTCAATGTATTTTGTCTTCCTTGTAATTTTCTTAGTTATCATTTTCTTTTCTCTAGCTTTATTGTAAGAGCACCCTATATAATACACATACAAAATGTGTGTTAATCAACTGTTTATATTATCGGTAAGGTTTCTGGTCCAACAGTAGGCTTTTAGTAGTTAATTGGGGAGGTAAAAGCTATACACGGATTTTCAGCTGCGTGGGGACGGTCAGCACCCTTATCCTCTGTGTTGTTCAAGGGTAAACTAGATAGTAAATATTTAAAGTTCTATCAAATTATAATCCTATCAGGGCTCAGGTTGCACAATGGCATTAGAAAATGCCTAAATTTTTGTGGAATTCCATATAGTTATACAGAATTTAAGACAAACTATAAAAGCAACAAATCAGAGCCTGGATTCTGGGTTCTTTGAATATCCCATGGGAAAGATCTATCCAGGGGAGATTTCTGGGAACTGCCTTTGTAGGTCTTGACAAGGGACAGCTGTGTTATCATATATCAGAACTCCAATACTGATAAAAAGTCCATGGGGGGGGAGGGAGGAGCATGGGCAAAGTAGAAAAGAATGTTGTCTAGTTACCTTAATTTTTCCAAATTGATATCACTTCTGTCTGACTGATTTCTGAGGGAAAATGAGGGAGGAAATATAATGGTTTTAAGACTATAGATATAAAATGCTTTAGGAATTCTAAGCACATATAAAAGTAAATATAAACCTTATTTTTTTAACAACTGCAAATTTTCATTTGGGTTATAGTAAGTTTTATTTATTTTTATTATGTTATGTTAATCACCATACATTACATCATTAGTTTTTGATGTAGTGTCCCATGATTCATTGTTTGCATATAACACCCAGTGCTCCATTCAGTATGTGCCGTCTTTAATACCCATCACCAGGCTAACCCATCCCCCCACCCCCTCCCCTCTAGAACCCTCAGTTTGTTTCTCAGAGTCCATGGTCTCTCATGGTTCATCTCCCCCTCCGATTCCCCCCCCTTCATTTTTCCCTTCCTACTATTTTAACATATAATGTATTATTTGTTTCAGGGGTACAGGTCTGTGATTCATCAGTCTTACACAATTCACAGCACTCACCATAGCACATACCCTCCCCAATGTCTATCACCCAGCCATCTCATTCAGATATACCTATATTATTAGAAATTCATATAAGTTTTGAAGTAAATAAAGGCTAATTAATTTAAGACAAAAACGAGAATTTTCAACAGAGTATGGCAATAAGAACACTTACCCATAAATTATACCTGCAATGGTACACTTCTTAAATGTCATAATATTGCAAGTGAGGGTTCCTGTTTTATCAGAAAATAAGTATTTTACCTAAACAAAGAAAAAACAAACATGATAAACAACATAAACTATATTTAGAGAACAAAGACAAAATCAAGTTCTTTCTCTTCAAATCCTCAAAATCTTTGGACTTTTAGGAAACAGGAAGTTCAGTTTATAAAAATTCTACCTTTAATATTTATACTTCTTTCAGAGATTCTCTTTTCTTTGTTTTACACTGCAGGGAAATTTCTATGTTAATAAGCAAAGTAAATTTCAAGCCATCAAACCTAAGAAAATCAGAAGTCCAAGTTCATTTTTTAGCCACAAGAAATCTCATCAAAAGTCTCTAGAAAACATTAAGTAGATATATAGATACACACACACACCCCAAAACCAAACAAAGACACCACAAGAAAAAAAATTACAGGCCAATATCCCTGATGAACATAGATGCAAAAATACTTAACACATTAGCAAATTGAATTCAACAGTACATTGAAAGGATTATACAACATAATCAAGTAGAATTTATTCTAGGGATATAAGAATAGTTAAATCAATCAATGTGATATACCACATTAACAAAATAAAGGACAAAAATCATATAACCATCTCAATAGAGGCTGAAAAAGCATTTTACAAAATTCAATATCCATTTATGATAAAAACTCTCAATGAAGTGGGGTTAAAGGAACAAACCTCACCATAACAAAGGTCAATGTGACAAGCCTGCTGCTAACACCAATGGTCAACGGTGAAAAGCTGAAAGCTTTTCCTCTAAGATCAGAAACAAGAAGGGGTGCCTCCCCTCACCACTTCATTCAACATAGCATTGGAAATCCTGGCCAGAACAATTAGGCAAGAAAAATGAAAGGCATCCAAATTAAAAAGGAAGAAGTAAAACTGTCACTATTTGCAGAAGACATTTCATATATAGAAAATCCTAAAGACTGCACCAAAAACCTGTTAGAATCAATGGATTCAGTAAAGTTACAGGATATAAAGTCAACATACAAAAATCTATTGCATTTTGTTTTCTTTTTAATTTTTTTATTTGAGATTTTTAAAATAGACTTTATTTTTTAGAGCAGTTTTAAGTTAACAGCAAAATTTAGTGGAAAGTATAGAGTTCTCATATATCTTCTGCTCCAGCACATGATTAGCCTCTCCCACTATTGACATCCTGCCCCAGAGTGGTACATCTGTCACAGTCAAAAAAACCTACACTGCCTTATCATTATTACTGAAGTCCATAGTTCACATTATGGTTCACTCTTTTTAATTTTAATTTTTTTTAAATTTTTATTTAAATTCTAGTTAGTTAACATATAGTGTAATATTGCATTTCTATACAATAATGAATTACCAAAAAAAGAGAAATTAACAATTTCATTTACAATTGCATTAAAAAGAATAAAATACCTAGGAATAAATTTAAGCAAGGAAGGGAAAGACCTATACACTGATAAAAAAAAAAAAAAAGTGAAAAAGACACAAACAAATGGAAAGATATTCCACATTCACGCATTGGAGGTATTAACATTGTTAAAATGTCCATACTACCCAAAGCAAACTACAGATTCAAAGTAACCCCTATCAAGATTCTAATGGCATTTTTCACAGATTTAGAACAAACAATCCTAAAATGTGTATGGAACGACAAAAGACCCCAAATAACCAAGGCAATCTTGAAAAAGAACAAAGCTGGAGGCATCATGCTTCCTGATTTCAAACTCCATTACAAAGCTATAGCAATCCAAAGGTATGGTACTGGCATAAGAACAGACACACAGATCAATGGAACAGAATAGAGAACTCAGAAATAACGAACACACCTATCATCAATTAATTTACAACAAAGGAGCCCAAAATACACATTAGGTAAAGGACAGTCTCTTCAAAAAATGGTATTCAATAAATAAATGACAGTCTCTTCAATAAACTGGATAACTACATGCAAAAAAATGAAACTGGACCACTTTCTTACACCATATGAAAAATTAACTCAAAACGGACCAAAGACTTGAACAGAAGAAACTGAAACAATAAAATCTCTAGAAGAAAACATAGGTAGTAAGATCTTTGATATTAGTCTTAGTGAGAATTTTTTTGGATTTGACACTAAAAACTAAGACAACAAAAGCAAAAATAAACAAGTGGGACTACATTAAATTAAAAAGCTTCTGTAAAGCAAAGCAAACCACCAACAAAATAAAAAGGCAACACAACGAATGGGAGAAAATATTTGCAAATCATATATTTGGTGAGGGGGGTTAGTATCCGTAATATATAAAGAACTCATATGATGCAACAGCAAAATAGCAATCCAATTTAAAAAACGAGGAGAGGATCTCAATAGACGTTTTTCCAAAGAAGACATACAAATGGCTACCAGACACATGAAAAGATGCTCAGCATCACTAATCATCAGTGAACTACAAATCAGAACCATAATGAGATATCACTTTCACACCTTAGAATGGTGATTACCAAAAGACAAAAAATAACAAGTGTTGGTGAGGATGTGGAGAAAAGGGAACCCTTGGTGCACTGTTGGTGGGAATGTAAATTGAAGCAACCACTATGGAAAATAGCATGGAAGCTCCTCCAAAAATTAAAAATAGAACTACCAGCAATTCCATTTCTGGGTATTTATCTGAAGAAAATGGAAAAACTAATTTGAAAAAATATAAGTACCCCCATGTTCATGGCAGCATTATCTACAACAGTCAAGATGAAACCACCTGAGTGTCTGTCAATGGATGAATGGATAAAGAAAATGTGGTGTATACATAATGATACATAATTATGCACACAGGTGCACACACACACACAATTCAGCCATAAGAAAGAAGATCTTGCCCTTTGTATAACATTAAAAGACTTTAAGGGCATTATGCTACCTGAAATAAGTCGGACAAAGAGACACCACATGATCTCACATGTGTGATCTGAAAAAAATAACTAAACTCATAGCTACAGAGAAAAAATTGGTGGTTGCCAGAGGCAGGGAGTGTTGGGTGAGCAAAATGGGCAAAGGGGGTCAAAAGGTACAAACTTCCAGTTATAAAATAAATCCTGAGCATGGTGATTACAGTTAATAATACTATATTGCATTTTCAAAAAAAAATACTGTATTGCAAATTCAAAAGTTCTCATCACCAAAACTCTGTAACTATATATGGTGACAGATGTTAACTAGATGTATCGTGATGGTCATTTTGCAATATTTACAAATTTCAAACCATTATGTTGTACACCTGAAACTAATATAATCCTATGTGTCAATTATAGCTCAGTAAAAAAGGGAAAGAGGCAGTGTTAAAGCATTTTTTATTATTGTGGTAAAATGTACCTAGATAAAATTTGCCATTTTAACCATTTTTAAGTGTTATTGAGCACATTCACATAATTGTGCAACCATCACCACCATCCATCTCCAGAACTTTTTCATCATCCCAAACTGAAACCTCTTATCACCTCAACAATATAGTTAACCCTTCATTCTCTCCTGTCCCATGGCCCCAGGTAACCACTATGCTGCTTTCTGTGTGAGTCTGACTATTCCAGGTACCTCATATAAGTGGAATCATATACTACTTGTCCTTTTGTGTCTGGCATGTTTCATTTAGTGTGAGATCCAAGGTCCATCCATGTTGTAGCATGTTTCTGAATTTCAATCATTTTCGGGGCTGAATGATATTCCATTTCATGTATATACCACATTTTGTTTAACCATTTATCTATTGATGGAAATTTCAGTTGTTTCCACCATTTGGGTATTGTAAATAATGCTGCTGAAAACATCTGCATACAATTTTTTAGTCCCTACTCTCAATTATTTCATGAAAATATCCAAAAGTTGGATTGCTGGAACATATGGTAATCCTCAGTTTAATTTTTTGAGGTTTCCCCATACTGTTTTCCACAGTGGCTGCATCATTTTATATTTTCACCGGGAGTGCACAAGGGTTCCATTCTCTCCACGTCCTCATGAACACTTGTTGCTCTCTGTTGGTATTATTGTTTTATAGTAGCCATCCTAGTGGGCATGAAATGGTGTCTCAATGAGGTCTTAATTTGCATTTCCCTAAATATTAGTAATGTTGACCACTTTTCATGTGCTTATTGTCCATTTATACATATTCTTTGGAGAAATGCCTATTAAAATCCCTTGCCAATTCTTGAATTGGGTTATTTGTCGTTTGCAATTGAGTTGTAGTTTTTTGATATATTCTGAATATTAAACCCTCTATTGTCTTCTGTTTTCAATTTCATTGATTTCTGCCCTTATCTTTATGTATTACCTACATAAACAATATAATTAATTTTTAAAGCTTGAGTTCCACAGCCAGTTTTATTATATTTAATTACCACCCTAAAGAGGCTAGAGTCAACTGACAAGGCAAGGTAGATAAAGTAATCTTTTCCCAACTGTCAACAGAAAACATATGTTTAGAGGATTAGCAAGTAATCAGATTTTCATAAGCAGAAAAGTTGCTAGAACGCTGATGATTCCAACCTCCTTCTTTACTTGTCCAAGGTAAAAATGCTGTTCATGTTCTCTTATCAGGCATTTCCAGGCACCAGAAACCTTCTAAAATAATTATTTACTGGGAACTCTCTATTCAAATGATACTATACAAGGTGACCCTAAATTAGAAAGCATATATGCAAATTGCTGGTTATAACTATTAGCATTAATTAAATCCCTTCTTCATACTAGGTACTATGCTGAGTATATCAAAAATACATTATCTTTTTTTTTTAAAGATTTTATTTATTTATTTGACAGAGAGATAGAAAGCACAAGTAGGCAGAGTGGCAGGCAGAGGGAGAGGGAGAAGCAGGCTCCCCGCTGAGCAGGGAGCCGGATGCGGGGCTCGATTCCAGGACCCTGGGATCATGATCTGAGCCAAAGGCAGACTCAACTGATTGAGCCACCCAGGCGTCCCACAAATACATTATCTTATTCAATCCCCCGAACAACTTTCTGAAGTAGATGCTATCATCTCTCCTGATTTACAGATGAGGAATGAAGGCCAGCAAGTTACCTAAGAAGCCCATGGTGACTTTGCTTATAAATGGGTGAAATCAGGGTTCACTCCCAGGAAGCTTAACTCCAAAATTCTGCTTTTACCATAATTTACATATTGCCTCCAATTAATTGAAAGATGGGAAATTATAATCTTGTAAAAAAAATATATTAAGAACAAAAAGTAATTACAGGAAAATAACAATCAGAAGTCTTCCTCCTGTCAGGTACCACACAACCGTGGGAGTTCGTTGGGTTCTTCCAGCTGTCCTGTGGTATAACTGACAAATAACCGTGGGAGTTTTTAAAAACAATTTCTACTTGTAACCACGCCACTGTCATTTAGAAGGTAACCAACTGTCTGTTGGTAGCCTGGCATCATTTCTGCCCCTTTGTAGTGTATTGCAGGGACTAAAGGCCTGAGGGTACACGGGTTAGGCAGGTAGAAAATTTTGCAGCAGCTCCAGAAGCTTCCCCAAGGGTCATCTGCCTTAGGGAAGCAGGAGCATGGCCACATGTAGCAGGTCTCCAAGCTCCTGTGACTCCCTGAAAGCTAAGTGAAAACTTGAGAGCTGACTGAAGCTTTCCCTACCTGCCTCTTCCTAAGCACATTAATAACCTGTATTAGGTTGCAACCCAGGATGCATTATCAATATTTTTAACAAATCCTACTTTTGAAGCTCCATATAGGTATCATATTAACTACAGCCTGTGGCTGAATTCAGCACTTCCGGCTTTGCTCACCCTCTCCCTAGATCCACCTTCTTCAAAGTTCCTGTCACGTACCCAGTCCCTGAAGGGGCCCTCACCTGCCCAAGCTCTTCATTAAGATTGGATGTTCTGGCCATGGCATAGACATTATTTCCTTTATAATGCATATCTTCATCCTGCAAGACATGAACAAAATAGCTGAGACATACAGTCAGAACTAGGCTCAAAATTTCTTCAGGTCGACTGTACCGCCACTGGTCTTCTGACATGGCTGACATGAGAAAGAATTCAAAATGGCGAGTCTAGAATACTTGGAGAGTCTCGGGTGCTAGTGTCTCACATATGTTGGCAGAGCTGATCCAGGAGAGGCAATGCTATGTAGAAACAAATGTCAGTGTATCGTTGGTTTGGTATTGGAAGACTTGGCTTCCAAATCCCGGCTCTGCCTCAGGCTCTCACTCTGTGGGATCCTGAGGGTGCTTTGCAGCTACTACATCTATAAAATGGGAGCAATAACACGGATCTCCCAGCATTCCTATGAAAATTATGGGAATACATTTAAAAGCACTCTGTCTCATTTTGTGGTTGTTAAAAATAACAGTACCCTTCAAGTGGTGGTAGTTTATTGGCATAGGGAGATCATTTTAATGAGATATCTAGCAAAAATCTTACTTCCAGGAAAAATCTTTTAAAACAGAACTGAAAATTGCAACCATACATTCAAATTGGAAAATTCATTCAGTCACATGTTATTAAGTATTTACTTAAGTGAATGCATGGCTTTCACTTAAGATATCTTTTCCTTAATGTGAAATGATTCTGAAATAGCTGTTTCTGTCACTCTTGCCAAGATATATAAATCTATTGTAAGTCTACTGGACTCCTCTCGAGGATCTTATATTTTTTTCTTAAGATTTTATTTATTTATTTATTTGACAGAGAGAGACAAAGCAAGAGAGGGAACACAAGCAGGGGGAGTGGGAGAGGGAGAAGCAGGCTTCCCGCTGAATGGGCTCTTAATGGGCTATCTCTTCACAGTTGCTACTAAGCCACTAACTCTTAAATCTTCCCTTTCAGTTAGAATAAACATATGAAACAATGGTGTCCTCAAGAGTGACACAGAGAGGCCCAGGCATGTTGGAGTCAGGCTGACACCAATGTTTGGCTTTCCTGTCAAAAGCACAACTGGCCCACGTACTAGCCCCATGGTGAGAACTGCTATGCTGATTTTCAAAACCAAAGCCACAGATCAAGAGAGAACTGTTTTTTAAACATTCTGATTTCAATACTCACCCAGTTTATAAACATGGCCTGCACATATTTCACAATTTCCAGAGTGACCAGCAGGCTAATGGGGATGAGATTGTGGTACAGGATGATGAACACCAATAAGTCAAACCCTAAACTGTGGGAGCTGTAATCTGCGGAAGAAGAGCAGAGGAATCATGTCACAGCTTCAGGCAATAGCTTTCTTCATCTTTGTTTGCATTATTACTTTTTATAATTGTGAACATTTCTGCATGAAACTTCTTAAAAGTATAACGAAAATGAACACATCAAAATGGATTTTAAAGGATCAGTGAAGCACCAACCGTGTAATAGGGTGGATGGCAAGTATCAAAGTACAAGATCTAGCAAGAGATAGACCCCGGCCTCAGGGAGCTTTGGATGCGGCTTGAGAAGGGAAGATGAGTCAGGAAGCGCGGCGTGATGAATTCGGTGCTAGCACTGAACACGGAGAGTAACAACAACAGCACAAAGTGGAGGGCCCAGAAAGAGGGTGCAGCAAAGTTTGAAGAAGGGAGTTTGTTAAATGGGGAAGATGAGGGGAAGAGAATAGGAACGACATCTTATTTAGCAGGAACTACATGGCTTGAAGACAAATAATGAATGATTTTTAAAACTCAGGGAAAGAAGGAAAGTGAAGCCAAAAGGAAAAGAAAAGAAAATGAACATGATACTTTGTAAAACCTAGTGATATCTTCCTTTTTATTTATTTTTTAAGATTTTATTTATTTATTTGACAGAGAGACACAGCGAGAGAGGGAACACAAGCAGGGGGAGTGGGAGAGGGAGAAGCAGGCTCCCTGCTGAGCAGGGAGCCCGATGCGGGACTCGATCCCGGGACTCCAGGATCATGACCGGAGCCGAAGGCAGATGCTTAACCAACTGAGCCACCCAGGCACCCCTGATATCCTCCTTTTTAAAGAGATGGATACATTTGAGAGAGTAATTTTCCAATAAAAACTCAATCTAATTTCACAGAAATGTACTGAAAAATATCTAGAAGGTATTCAGGGGATATATACATGCTGCTTTATACATGGCTTTCTCAAAACTTACATCTCAACCTTAAATATTAAATTTATATGTTGAGTTATGGGAGGTGGGGTTATAACTGAAAAGCACTAACCACAAATTGATTTGTAAAGTGTAATTAAACACAAATATGTATATATAAAGTCAAAATTAAATAATAATTTTAAGTTAAAACTTTATATTCATTTTTCCTAAAAAGGGAGCACACTTGTAATTTAGAAGAGTAGTTAAATTTAGATTTCTAAATTCCATCAATTTAAAAGTCATGTTTGGGGCGCCTGGTGGCTCAGTTGGTTAAGCAGCTGCCTTCAACTCAGGTTGTGGCCCCGGGGTCCTGGGATCAAGCCCCGCATTGGGCTCCCTGCTTGGTAGGAAGCCTACTTCTCCCTCTCCCTCTGCCTGCCACTCTGCCTACTTGTGCTCTCTATCTCTCTGTCAAATAAACAAACAAAGCCTTTAAAAAAAATAAAAAAATAAAAACAAAAGTCAAGTTTAATTCGCTATCATATCTATTCAAACTCTTATCACCATTGAGTTTACGAACTTTCCCTTATTTGCCATATTTATACTTTTATACTTACTGTACTACTTTGTGGTCATGAATTATTCTTTTAGGAATACTAGAGGCAGATATTATTATGACCATTTGATGGACAGAGAAGTGGAGACAAGATCAAGTGCTTTATTTATTAATTATTAAAAATACAGTTATACTTTAATTACCCAATACCTTTTTCTTCTTTTGGACTAGAATATCCTGGTAGAGTGGTGTAGTAGTCTAGAGCCAATTATGGATTCTCATTCCAAATAAGCCACTAAGTTCCTCTGTGCTTTTTGGGAAATACACAGAATCTGTTTCACTTTCATAAAACAAGGGGCTGGACTAGAAAACTATACAGTTCTGTTTCTAAATATAAAATTATTTCTTTTAGCCAAAAAATTACTGAGTTCCTATTATGAAAAGGCACTGTTCTTGGAGTTAAAGATACGGTGATTCCCAAAAATTCACAATTTTCAAAAATTCACAGTCTAGCTGGGGAGAGGGACAAACAATAATTGTAAAACATGGAAATGGAATGATATCTATTAAGGATATCATTATAGAAGCCAAGAGGGATCCTCATTAAAAGAGGAAGATAAGATATAGGAAATGCTACTAGAGAAGGTAATACCTCATCTTGGACTGAAATGAGAAGTGACAGGTATCCAGTCAAGAAGGGACCAGAGATGCATTTGAGGCAGAAGAAAGGAGCACAAGATGAAAGGCCTGGGGATGCTGAAGCAACTGGTGGATGGAAGGATCATGAAATAGAACAAAAGTCAATCTTCTGTGAATAGAGACCAAGTGCTCAGGAAGAAGTGGTGAGGTATCAGGTGATGGAGATAGGACCAGATTATAAAGGTCCTGATATGCCATGCTAAAGGAGATTTATCTTGACCCTGTAGGCCAGGAGTCTACAGCCAGAGGGTAAATATTTTAGGTTTTGCAGGACATAGTCTCTGTTTCATTTACTCAACTCTGCTATTGTAGCACTGAAATAAATCACAGATAATACATAAATAAATAAATATGGCTGTGCTCCGATAAAACTTTATTTACAAAAACAAGCAGTGGGCCATCAGGCAGTAGTCTACCATGCCAGTGTAAACAACAGGATACACTGAAGCTACTGCATGTATTCCTAACTATTTTTTATCTGCATCTCTCTGGAAACTGTATGAAGAATGAATGGGAGTAGAACTTGACTGAGGGCTGGGCAACCAGCTGGAAAACTGTGACAGTTGTCCAGGGATGAAAAAGAGAGTACACACAGAGAAAATACTGAAAAGGTGGAATGAATAAGACTTTGGGACTGATTGGACGATGAAGGCCATAGGGGTAGGAGTCGGGAAAAGAGGAGGAAGCAGAGAAGGAGGACTAAGAGTGACCTTTATGTTTCTAGCTTGGATGATGGTTGGATGGAGTACCTACAATTTACATGGAGAATACTGAAAAAAGACAATGGTTTGGGGAAAAAAGATGCATTTAATTTTGTACATGCTGAATTAAGAAGTCAAGCAGAGAAAGTCAATTATCGTATGGTTTCACTTATTTGTGGAACATAAGGAATAGCTTGGAGGACATTAGAAGAAGGAAGGGAAAAATGAAGAGGGGGAAATCAGAGAGGGAGATGAACCATGAGAGACTATGGACTCCAAGAAACAAACTGAGGGTTTTAGAGGGGAGGGGAGGTGGGGGGATGGGTTAGCCTGGTGATGGGTATTAAAGAGGGCACATTCTGCGTGGAGCACTGGGTGTTATACGAAAACAATGAAGCATGGAACACTACATCAAAAACTAATGATGTACTGTATGGTGACTAACATAACATAATAAAATTAAATTAAATTTAAAAAAAAAGAAGTCTACATGATACCTGCAAAGCAATGTCCAGACAACAATGAGTTAATAATTCAGAGAGTGATCTGAGCTTGAGGCAAACAGGTAGAAGACATCAACTGATGGATGACAGGTGAAATTATTAGAGCAAGTGAGCTCTCTTAGAAGGATTTTCTTGGACAAGATAATCCCTAAGAAGCCAGTGAAGGCCCTTCTGCAGGAAAACAACATGCACATATACATATATGAATGAAGTTCTCACAAAATTTTTAGGATTTATGGACTCAAGTTGAGACATTCCTGGTGAACCTAGGGTCCTGAAAAATACCAGCATTTAAAAGGTGGATCAAAGTTTCTATGAATCAAATAGGGAAGAGATGGTTTAAAAAAAATATCAGAAGAGGGTGGCAGGGGTCCAGTTAGATCCCACTTAAAAAAATGACCACTGGGTTTGGCAATTAGGAATTGATTCCTTCCCTTGAGCCACAATTCCAGTGGACTGGTTGAAGTGGACAGCAGATGGAAATGGACCCAAGAGTGACCAGGATGCAAGAAAATAGAAACAATGAAGGTTGTCTCTTCTTTCAAGAAATCTGATCAAGAAGGAAAGAACAGGTCATTTGTAGAGTATGCAGAACTTGACACATTTTATCCGCAACAAAATATCAGTGACTTCTGTAAGAATTTATGTCTGTTTCAAAATAAGATAATATTCACAGCCCCGGGCTCGGACAAATTAAACAAGCACATTTAAATTGAGATTACTTTTTTGAAATCATTGAAAATCTAAAAGCTTGAGATAAAAACTGGATAGGTATATCTAGAAATCCAGATTGCGTGAGAATGAATCTTTGATTTTTTTTTTTATCCAATCTACAAAGTCTTTATCTTAGCTTCTTTATTTTTAAGATGCTCCCAGACAGATCCTCTCAAAGGAAGTTAGAAAAGTTTTTAAAATCCTCAGCTGATAGATGAGAAAAGGCAGAAGGATGTACGACAGCTAATTCTGAAAACATGGAAAGACATAAGCAAAAAAAAAAAAAAAAAAAAGACTGAACTTTTAATGCCAAGGATAGTTTACCGTTAAATCTTTTACTGACCTTCTGGTCAATTTAACCACTGAATCCCCTTCGGGGGGCCCCTTGTCCTCATTTTCTTGGCATCATTCATTGTCCACAGAGCACTGTACTAACCCAGTGAGGTGGGTATTATCGCCATTTTCAAATGAGGGAAGAAGAAGTAAAAAGAGAAGCCCAGACAAGTAAAAAGCCTTGTCCAACTTCTCCCGGTGACTAGGTGGTAGAGGCAGAGATGTGGGCCTTATCTGTCTGGCTCACAGTCTCATTCCTCTGCCTTGACTCCTCCCTTTCCTTTATTCTGGAATGCCAAGATTATGGGGAACTGGCAGAACAATCTTAAGAAGGAAACATTGTTTCTAAACTCATTAACCCTCAAGGTTACGGCATTACAGCTCCCAAAATGGTAGCTTCTTACCACCCTTGGACACTTACCCTTTGTTCTGATGTACCAAATGCCTTTTCCGTACCAGTCATTCCAGAGTATGACTCCCAAACAGCTCACCAAGGACATGGCCAGGAGCAGCAGGAACAACACCAGGATCTGCACATTGGTCACCTTCTCAACATTTGATCTCTTGAGAGGCAATTTGATAGAATTCTGCATAATAGCACATGCACACACACCAAAAAGAATGAAAAACAATCAAAGGAATTATAATTCATGAATACTCTGATGGCAAGAAGAGGTCAAAAATCCCAAAAGCTGAAAAATAGCACACTTTTTTTTTTGCTAAATAACTACCAAGACTAAAAGTGTACCATATTGTTGAATGATATGGCTTTTCCACTTCGGTCCTTGAAGCATTTTTTACTAATTCACAAAGAACATATTCACACAGATGATCTATCACCCCAGGGTTCTAGGGTTTAAAAAAAAAAAAATCCAATGTGGTAAATCAGTCTAGGTGGTCTTCTGTACAGAACCCCCCAAAAAAAGACCGTACTAATTTGTTGGTTTTACTATTTATAGTTATTGCATTACTTCTGGTTTAAAAACCATAGAAAAATACCTTTCATCTGAGTCTGTTGGGAAAATATTCAAGATTTTACCAGTACAATAATTGTTCTGACACATGCATATTTTAGGGAAACCAAAGCTCTGGGTTAGGGATACAGTGAGAGTTTCAAATAATAATTTTCTATTAGCATTTCAGATTTGCCCATAAATTTCTGATAATTGTCTGCTGAGGTCTACTGAAATATTGGCAAATATATGTGTATTTAATTTTTTAATATATAACATATATAATTGGCAAGCATATAGATATATACAGATATAGGTAGATATAGATATTTAACTTTTCAATCACACTTTGCCAGATTAAGTTTACCATTTCTACATTTTTTTAAATGTAGAAGCATAAATTCTCGAAGTCTACAAGTTATGAAAATATGAGTTAGTACTCTAAATTACTCAACTTTTTTACAAAGCATATGAATAAGATTTTTTAAAATCTAGGTTTAACTGCATTAAGCCTAGTATTAGAGAACGTCCGTGTGTGTGTGCACATAATTTATATATATATACGTATATATAAATATATATATACTTATGTATAATATCTCCAAAGCAATCATGTCATTCCTTCTCTTTTGTTAACCTGTATAAGTAATGTCTTCAAATGTTATACAATATACAACAGTTTTCAGCTAAGGGTGTTGTACTTAAAATCTTTCAATAAGGAAATACATTTACTAGTTCTTTCTTTTCTGAAGTCACGAAAAAGCCCTCTTTGAGATTTCTGTTATTCTTAAATGACACAGTCAACGTGTATAATCAACTTGTGCAGTGATTTACATCCACAAAATATCATAAAGAAGGATGCACTTTCCAATGAGCTGCAGCACAGACAAGCCATACTGGGGGGTAATGGAGTGGGCTTCTTCCATTAACAGTAGACAGTGAAATCTGAGATGCAGTGTTATATTACCAGGTGGACAATTAAGTAAGCCAGCATGATCATTTGAAGTGTACTGTTTGAGGGTGGAGCAGTTTACAACTGAATCATGGGTCATGATTATGTGTGTTCTACGTTGCCCTTGGTTCCCTGTCCAAATACAAACTTCTATTTGGGGATAGGCTGTGTTTATATCACTGTCTTAGTCTGGGGTTTCTAGGATACAGAGTGTAAGGAAATCTTACCCATTAATGCGTTATTGCAGGGTACAATCCCAGGGCAGGAAGAATGAGAGGAAAAAGAAAAGTGAGACAAGAAATTGGGAAGCAAACACAGGGGAATGTCACAGACCAGTCATAGCTTTGTAAGAAATTGTACCCAGGTCTTCAGTTGTACAGCCTCCAACTTGCCTCAGACTAGTCTGTCACCATTCCATGCATTCTCTCTCTGCTATCAGTCACACTGAGTTGCACTGCCCAATAGGGCACATGCCAATTCTTGGCCTAGCGCTGTCCCACCTGCCTCCCTTTCTTTCTGAACCTCCCGACACCCTTGACACTCCCATGTATTCCACTCAGCCTTCAGGTCTTGCTTTACATGCTACTTCCCCACAACAGCCTCAGCATCGGGTTGGATGGAGCGCCTATGCAGACATGGAGTATCCTATACTTACCCCTCCTGAGTGACCTCTTGCTATTATGTTACCTTGACTGTCTTCCTTCACACACTGCAAGTAACTCAAGGACAGGCAACAGGCCTACTACCCCCCAAGGTCTTAGCACAGTGTCTGGCATTACATAAGTACTAAAGAGATATTTGTAGAAGGAATAGTCAAAGCCAAATGTTGTATTTTAGCAGATGGTATAATGGGTAGACTTACTGTTAAGTTACTTCTCATGAATAATAAACATGCAAAAATTCCTACTCCAAAACAAAGACGGCGATTGATTTTCAGGCATACATTTTAGTGATTCAACACTTCTACACAACAGCTGGTGCTCATCACAACACTTAATCCCTATCACCTATTCAACCCATCCCCCCAACCAGCTCTCCCCAACTGGAATTTAAATAAAAACTTTAAAAAAATATGCTGCCTTTTGTTTCAACAATTTCAATGCTAGAGCTTTATCTTCTGTGAAAAAAATAAGCAACTATCCATGTTCACTGCAGCAATATTTATAATAGTTTCTCTCCCCTAGACTCTCTAATGTAACTATGTCATTTCCACATGTTAAAGATTTATTTATTTATTTAAGACAGAGCAAGCACACAAGTGGGAGGAAGGATAGAGGGAGAGGGAGAGAGAACCTCAAGCAGACTCTGCTCTAAGCGTGGAGCCCGGTATAGGGCTCAATCCCACCACGTCCCTGAAATCGTAACCTGAGCCGGAATCAAGAGTCCAATGCTCAACCGACTGAGCCACCCGGGCACCCCTCCATATGTTAATATAGAATGTAATTTCAAGTCTTAAATAGCAATTCATATAATAGTCTGTACAGATTGATACCATTTTTGCCAACACAAAGTGTTTTCTGCACGTTTATATGTATGTCTGTACACGTATTATTAAATATTTGTTCATTATAGAATTTAAAAAAAGAAAGAAAGAAAGATGATTGAGAGGAATGGTACATGAGAGTAAGAATTTACATAGAATTTCTGATGTCATTTGGCCAAAATAATCTTACCATAAATGGGAGCCATATAGACTAAAATGAAATATGGACCTCCCTTCCAAACTTCAGGCTAATAAACAGAAATAAGCTTCCTTTAAAAAAATATTTTATTTATTTATTTAAGGGAGAGAGCATGAGCAGGAGGAAGGGCAGAAGGAGAAGGAGAAGCAGGCTCCCCGCTGAGCAGGGAGCCCAATATGGGACTTGATCCCAGGACTCTGGGATCATGACCTGAGCCGAAGGCAGACACTTAACCAACAGAGCCACCCAGGTGCCCCCAGAAATAAGCTTCCTAAATTCAAGAGATAAATACTAAATCCCTCACCTCCTAAAAGAAGAAAAAGCTAGAGGCAATACTATCTGTCATCACAAATTATTTTACCTGCATGAATTTGGTTTCAAATCCAGTGTAAACAACTATGCCAAGGATCCACTGAGTATTTTTAAGTTGTGTGCCTCTTAGCAAGATCTGATCAGGCCCAATTGGAACAGGGCTAAAAATAAAGAAGAGCATTTATAAATTAACCAAAAAGTTTTTTCTTTTCTTTTCACAATGTAAAGCAAGCCTAAGCTTTTACCTTATATATATTTCCTTTTGTCAAGTTCAACACTGGGGGGAAATAGCAATAAAAACAAATGTGTCTTCATAGAAAGTACCTCCTTCTAAATGAGCATGGAAAAACAATGCTTTATCATCCATTTCTCACTAACCCAAAAAGGTATGTTGACTAAAATTTTGGAGAGAAAATATCTCTGATACCTAGGGTGACTATAAATCTTATTGTCAAGGAAGATTAGGTGGAGGAATAAGTACCTGTGTGCCAATTTGGTAATCTATAGAAAAGATTACATGTGGTCATTCAGAGCATACAAAGCAAGCTCAGTCTGCCGTATTTACTTGTCCCCTCCAGCACAGCCCAACTCACCATATAAAAGATGTTTTTGTGAAAGTCTAAAGTAGAAGCTAAGTAGAAATGGAGTAGAAATTAGGAAAAATCCTTCATCGTTATCAAACTAAATGCTTAGTTGCTTCTCTCCCTGGATGACTTTCAAAACCTTGTTCTTTCCACTAATTTACCCTAAGGGATGTGCTAAGTGCTTGTCTGCAATGGGAACTTGGACCTTACTTCTCTAGTCCTTCCACTTGCAAGTAAGCTGATTAAGAAAATGTCATACACTTTCCTCCTATACTTAAGAATTCCTTTTTTTAAAAACAATATATTGATGCCTCAGGTATTTCAAAATCAAGTAAAAAATGAAAAAGTATAAAGGTTTAAAATGTTATCAACCAAGAGAATAAAAACTGCCATTTTTTAAAGTTCCATTAAGAAAAAAAAAGGTTTGAGAAGTGAAAGATGATACCTTTTACCATTTAGATACAAGGTTCCAATGAAGGTATTGAAATGACGATTAGGTCCTTCACATTCTATTTTTCCTGATAGGCTTGACAATTGTTTTTCTGTTTGCATTTCAGCTGTTTCTAACAAAGCCTGTAAAATAAAGTCAAAGTTAAAAAATATGAAAATTAAATTTTAATAGCAAAGTTCAATGTCTCTAGTAGTTAATAAAAGAAAATTATGAAAATCAGGGTCTAAAAATGTACTGCACTTATCAGGTAACAAATAATGCACATGAAACTTTAACATAAACTTTGTTAGAAAACTTTGCCATGCCAGCATTTGGCAAATAATTTTAATAAGGTTGAAAGATGTAGGAAAGTTAAGTTTTCATCATCTCTATATGAAAATAATGTTTTTGAAAGTGTAGTCACTATAACCAAACATCATGTCATGTTTGATACATTTACGGATGTAGCTGATGATGCTGAACTCTGGACCACACTTAGAGTAGCAAGGATCTAGAATAGTGATTCCATGCATCACCTGATTTGCATGCATCAGATTCACCTGGAAGTCTTTAAATACAGACTGCTGAGATGTACCCTGAGGGGATTTTTTGTTTTTTGTTTTTTGTTTTCAGCAGGTCTGGGTGGGTCACTAGAATTTGTATTTCCAAAAGAATGGTGATGGTGCTGGTCCAGGGATCACACTTGGAGAAACATTGATCTAGAGAATGGCTCATTGCGATAAGATGATCTCAACTTTCCAGAGAGAAAAAGCGGATCGTCTTCAGGAGAACAAGAAACAAATTGTAGGGCACCTGGTTGGCTCAGTTGGTTAAGCGACTACCTTCGGCTCAGGTCATGATCCTGGAGTCCCAGGATCCAGTCCCACATGGGGCTCCCTGCTCAGCAGGGAGTCTGCTTCTCCCTCTGAACTTCCCCCATCTCGTGCTCTCTCTCTCTCTCATTCTCTCTCTCTCAAATAAATAAATAAAATCTTTAAAAAAAAAGAATCAAATTGTCATCAGTCTTTTTAACAACAATACAAGATATAGGAAGACAGTGAATTTTTATTTTTAGTTATCTAAATAGAAGACCTTTAAATTTAGACCTTTAAATTTCCCAAATATCAAACAAATGTGAAAGTTTAACACAAATATTTTCAGGCATGCAAACGATGTCTTGGAAGTTTTGACACTCAGAAACCTACATCGAAACAGTTTGGGATGAACTTCTGTTAATCAAAAGATGCCTTAAATAAAGTATAAGACCAAGTTACCAACTGGGTAAATGTCTTCTAGACATTTATAATACATATAACTGACAAATAATTAGTAAGAAAAATGTGTAAAGAAATCCTATAAACCAATAAAAATATAAATATCCCAATAGAAAAATGAACAAACAACATGAACAAATATTTTCCCAAAAAAGAAAGTATGTATTACCAGTACGCTCAAAAACAGATGCTCAAGAGTGATATATTAATGAATTAAAAAAGAAAAAGCATTATCCTATCAATAGAGGCAGAAAAAATAGTAAAGAGCTTAACATGCATTCTAGAAAAAAAAATTCTTAGCAAGACTTCACAAATTTGATAAAAGCAAACAAAAAGCAACTATCCACACATAACTATAAAATGTTAAAGCATTTCCATGTTAGTCAGGATCAAGAAGAGACTAGGTTCTATCATCAAATTTATTTGCAACTGCTCAGGAGTTTCTGGGTAATAACATAAGACTGGGGAAAAAAGAAATTAAGTATGATTACTGAAAAGTAAACACCAGAAATGAACCAACTTTATAGAAAGAATTTGTTACCGCAAAAATCCTATCTGCTTGACTTAAAAATCATAAAAATGTGTAAGAGAGTTTAGTAAGGTATCTGGATTTAAGATCAATAAACAAAAATAAGTATAGATGTATCACAGTTAAACATTCACCCACTAGAGGATAGCTGGCTATTGCTAATAAAGCTGCTATAAATATTTGCATAAAGGTTGTCTGTCCTGTGAACATAGGTTTTCATCTCTCTGGGATAGTACAATTACTGGGGCATATAATATTTGCATGTTTAATTTTATACAAAACCGCCAAAATGTTTTCCCAAGTGGCTGTATCATTTTATATTCCCATTCAGTGTGTTTGATTGATCCAGTTTCTCCACATCCTTACCTGCATTTGGTGTTGGAACTATTTTTAATTTTGGCCATTCTGATAGGTATGTAGTAACATTTCACTTTGATTTTAATTTGCATTTCCCTAATGGTTAACGATGTAGAAAATATCTTCATGTGCTTATTTGCCATTTTTATATCCTGTTCTATGAAATGTCTCTTTTTGCCCATGTTCTAATTGAATTGTTTGGTTTGCCTATTTTTTTTTTCTGTAGAGTTTTGAGAGTTCTTTATATATTTGAAATACCAATCCTTTGTCAGATATGTGGTTTGCGAATATTTTCTCCCAGTTTTCAGCTTGTCTTTTCATCTTCTTCAAAAGCAAAAGCTTTTCATTTTGATGAGGTCCAATTTATCAATTTTTCCTTTTCTGGATCACATTTTTAGTATTGATTCTGAAAATCTTGGCCTACTCTAAATTCTCAAGATTTTTTTCCAATTTTTTTTCCTAAAAGTTTTACAGTTTTACATTTAAGTTATGATAAATTATTAGTTAACTTTTGCATAAAGTATGAGACTTAGGTCAAGGGTTTTTTAATTTGTTTTTTGCTATGAACATACAATTGCTCCAGCACCATTTGTTGAAAAGTTTATCTTTTCTCCAATGAATTGTTTTTGCTCCTTTGACAAAGTCATTTGGGCATATCTGTGTAGATCTATTTCTGGGTTTTCTATTCTGCTGCATTGAGCTGTGTGCCTATCCCTTACCAAAACTACACACTCTTGATTACTGTAGTTAAAAAATGACTGGATATCAGGTAGATTGATTCCTTCCATTTTATGCTGCTTTTTCAAAAATGTTTTAGCTATTATAGTTTCTTTGCCTTTCTGCACATATTTTAGGATAAGCTCATCTATCTCTACAAAAGACCTTGCTGGTATTGTCACAGAAGTCGCATTAAACCTGTATGTCAATTTGGGGAGAATTAACATCCTTACTGTATTGAGTCTTCCAATCCATGAACACTGTTTTTCTCTCCATTTATCTAGATCTTTTTAAATTTCTTTCATCAACATTATAATGAAATTTTCAGCATACAGATCCTGTCTATCTTGTTAGATTTACACCTAATTCATATTTTTTAAAGATTTATTTATTTTAGAGAGAGAGAGAAAGTGTAGGGGCAGAGGGAGACAGAGTCTCAAGCAGACTCTGCACCAACTGCAGAACCCTATGCAGGGTTTGATCTCAAAACCCTGAGATCATGACCTGAGCCGAAACCAAGAGTCAGATGCTTAATCAACTGCACCACCCAGGTGCCCTCTAATTCACATTTTGAGCACTTATAAATGATACTGTATTTTTTTAAAGATTTTATGTGCAGGGGCAGGAGAGGGGGGAGGAGCAGAGGGAGAGGGAGAAGCAGAATCCCTGCTGAGCAGGAAGCCTGATGTGGGGCTCAATCCCAGGATCATGACCTGAGCTGAAAGCAGAAACTTAACTGACCCAGCCACCCAGGTGCCCCGATACTGTTATTTTTAATTTCAGGGTCCACACATTTATTGCTACTATACAGAAATAAAAGTGCTTTTGTAGGGGCACCTGGGTGGCTCAATCATTAAGCATCTGCCTTCAGCTCAGGTCATGATCCTGGGGTCCTGGGATCAAGCCCCGCATCAGGCTCCCTGCTCAGCGGGAAGCCTGCTTCTCCCTCTGCCACTCCCCCTGCTTGTGTTCCCTCTCTCGCTGTCTCTCTCTGTCAAATAAATAAATAAAATCTTTTAAAAAAAAAAGTGGTTTGGTATATTTATCTGGTATCCTATATCCTTGCCAAAACCACATTATTTCATTTTATTTTAGATTCCTTGGGAATCTAGGTAGACAACTTTTCTATGTAAACAACTATGTCAAAATCAAATAGAGACAGTCTTATTACTTCCCTTCCACTCTGTATGTCTTGTTTTCCTCTCATTGTATTTTTTAACTCTTCCAGTGCTACGTGAACAAGAATAGTGAGAGCAGATATCCTTGCCCGTTTCCTGTCTTGGGGGAATGCATTTAGTCTTTACCACTTATATTTCACCACATATATTTTAATATTAGCTCTAAGTTTTTTTGTAGATGTTCTTTACCAAGTTGAGAATGTTCCCCTCTATTTCTACATTTCTCTAAGTTTTTGTCACGAATCGACACTGAATTTTGTCAGATGTTTTCCTGCATTTATTAATATTATGTGATTTTTCTTCTTTAGCCTAAAATAGTGGATTACATGGATAGATTTTTCAATTATTAAACAAGCCTTAAGTACATGGAATAAACCTTTATAATTCTTTTCATATATTGCTGAATTCCACTTATTAATACTTTTAAAGAACTCGGGTGTCTGTACCCATGAGGAATATGGGACTGTTTGGTTTCGTTTTTTTCCACTGTCTGTCTGGCTTGGGTATCAGGGTAATAACAGCTTTGTCAGGAAGTAGTCCCTCTCTTCTGTTTTCTGGAGGAGACTGTGTATAATTAATGTTAATTTTTCTTTGTGTGTTTGTTAGAAATCTCCAGTGAAACCACCTGGGCCTGAGATTTGAGATTTCTTCTGGGGGAGTTTTTAAATTATAAATTCAACTTCCTTAGTAGTTACTGAGCTATTCAGTTTACCTTTTTCAGGTGTTTGTAGGTTTTTCTGTTATCTTTGTCACTGATTTCCAGCTTTATTCCACCATGGTTGGAGAACACATTCTCCATGGTTTTAATTCTTCTAATGTTATGAGGCTTGTTTTATGACACAGGTATGGTCTATCTTGGTGTGTGTTCCTTGCACACTGAAAAGAATGTGTGTTTTTCTTTTGTTGGGTATTGTTGAATGTTGTATAACTATCAAACAGATCCTGTTGATTAATGGCATATAGTTCTGTATCTTGAAGAATTTTTGATCTAGTTGTTCTGTCAATTAACAAGAGGGGGTTGCTGAAGTCTGCAACTATAAATGTGGATGTCTATCTTTTAAGTTCTATCACTTTTAGCTTCACATATTTGCAGTTCTATTTTTTGATGTATACACACAGTAGCATTGCTATGTCTTATTGGTGGATTGACTCTCTTATCATTGTATAATAATAAGAAAAAAATGTTCCTTTCTGGCTCTAGCAATTTCATTTGCTCTGATGTCTACTTGATATTAATATAGCCACTCCTGATTTCTTTTAATCTTTACATGATGTATCTTTTTCCATCTTTTTACTTTTTTTAAAGATTTTATTTATTTGAGAGAGAGAGAAAGTTTGAGAGAGAGAGAGAGAGAGCATGAGTAGGGGAGAGAGGCAGAGGGAGAGGGAGAAGCAGGCTCCCAGCTGAGCAGGGAGCCCCACGTAGGGCTGGATCCTAGACCCTGGGATCATGACCTGAGTCGAAGGCAGACGCTTAACCGACTGAGCCACCCACGTGCCATCTTTTTACTTTTAACCTGCCTATACCATTATAAGTAAAATGAGTTTTGAACAGACAGCATATAGTTGGATCATGTTTTTAATCCATTAGATATTACTTTAGTCCAAAACTTAATGGCATATTAATACCATTTACATTTAATAGAATTATTGATTTTTTTTGTTTGTCCTCTCTGGTTTTGCTTTTTGCTTTTTCCTGCTTTCCTTTGGGTTACTTGGACATTTTTTAGGATTCCATTTTGGTTTACTGATAGTGTTTTTTAGTATCTTCCTTTGTATAACTATTGTAGTGGTTGCTCCAGGCATTACATTATTTATAAGCAACTTCTCACAGTTTATTTGTATCATCATTTTACAAATTTAAATATAGAAGCCTTGCTTCCTCTTACGTCTCTTTACTCTCCCCTGTTATATATCTTAAATATTTTTTCTCACACATTTAGAACCATATTAGATCATCTTATGATTTTTGCTTCAACCATCAGACATAATTTAGGAAACTCAAAAGGAAAAAAAGCTTACTGTATTTAGCCTTATTTTTGCTTATCATGTTCCTTCTTCCTTATGTTCGTTCCTTTTTTATGGTTTCCTTTCTGTTTCAAGACCTTTCTTTAGCCATTCTTTGACAGTGAGCCTTGTGGCAACAACTTTTGTTATTTTTCCTTCAATTGAGAGTATTTTAATTCTCTCTTCTCTCTTGAAAAAGGTGTTTGCTAGATACATGATTCTGGACTGACAGTTCTTCCCTATCAGCGTTTTAAAAATGTTATGCCATTTCTTTCTGACCTCCATGGGTTTTAACGAGAGATCTGCTGTTACACAAAGGGTCTTTCCCCTAGAGGTAGGGTCCTTTTTCTCTCACTGCTTTAAAATAGTTTTTTCTTTGTTTTCAGAAGTTTTACTATAATGTGTCTTGGTATGGATTCTTTGGGTCTATCTTTTTTGGCTTGCTCAGCTTCTTAAATTTGTAGTTTATGTCTTCTGGCAAATTTGTGAAGTTTTAGCAACCGTTTATTCTAGTAGTTTTTCAGTTCCTCCCTTCTCCTTCCAGCGCATCTCATGTCATGAATGTTAGATCTTTTGTTATATTCCCACAGGTGTCTGGAGCTCTGTCCATTTCCTTTTCAGCCTATTATCTCTGCTTTCAAGATGGGAAGTTCCTATTGTTTTATCTTTCAGTTCATGGATTCTTTCCTCTGTCCCTTCTATTCTGCTGTTGAGCTCATGCCCTGAGAGTTTTTGATGCCTTAAGTACTTACTGTACTTTTAAGTTCTAAAGTTTCCATTTGGATCATCTTTACGTCTTCTATTGCTTTGCTGAGAACTTTTGTATTTTCATTTCTTTCAAGCATGTTTATAGTTGCTCAGTGAAGCTCTTTTCCTGATGGAGCCTTTAAAATCTCTGTCAGATAATTCTAACATCTCATTATCTTCGTCTTAACATTAGTTGTTTGTCTTTTTTCACTGAGTTTGAGATCCTCCTGGTTTTTGGCATAATGAATCACTTTTTACTGAAATCTGGATATTTGGGGAAATATAAGATCTGGATATCACTAAACTTTCTGTGTTAGGTGCCTTCCTCTGACACTACTCTGACAAGGGAAGCCGGTGTGGCCTCATTACTGCAAGATGGCGGACAGAGAGGCAAGTTGCACACTTGGCCTCTGTTGACAACCAAATGGAGGGGCTCCTTGTTACAGCTGGGCAGGAGTGGGAGTTCTGGCTCCCCTGTAGGCCTCCATCATTACCTCCCTGGACTGAAGGGTTGGAGTGCTGCTGTCCATGTAGTCTTCACTGACACAGCAAAAAGAGAGGAGGGCCTTATTACCATCCTTATTACAAAATGACAGTCTTGGCTTCTTGCTTGGTTTCTCTGACACCATCCTTGTTGGGGAGTTGGGTGCCTCATCACAGCTGGGTAAGGGTGGAATTCTAGACTCCACACTCAACCTTTGCTGGTATCAGTGGGAGTGGGGCCAAATTTTTACTCTGGTGTTTGGCTGGGATGGAGTGGCCATTGTCTCAAACTTCCTGTCTTGCTGGCTGCCCCTTTCCTGGTCCTTTGACTAGAGAAAGGAGGCTTTTGTTGGGGCATTTTTTGGTCTGTGTCCATTGGTTTTTCTGGGTTTTTGACTTCTTCAGTTCCAAGTCTGGTATATATGACAAAAGGAAAACCCAGGGAACTCACCACCATGTTGTTCCCTGGGTTCCAAGGTCCCACAATCTACCTTCGTCTATCACTCTTTCAGTGTCTTCTCATATTTGTTTTCCTATATAATGACCAAACATTTTAGTTGTACTTAGCAGGAAAAATAGAAGAAAGTATGTCTACTTCATTTCCCCTGAAGAAGTCTACAATTGCATTTTTAAAAATAAGAAGGTACCACCAAACTATTACAACAATTAGTACTGGGAATAAAGGTGGGATTTGGAAGGTGGAGATAAGGTTTAATAAGTTTCTGTATTACTTATATTGCTTTTATGAAGATAATATATTACTTTAATAAATTCTAAATATGTTTTTTTTTTCATTTTCAATCAAATTAAAGTTTGCAAAAAAAGATTAGCAGACATGTAAATAGTCAAATGTAAATTCAGGGACTTCCTTACTGAAGCAAAGTGATAAAGCAAAGACTCAATTATCTTAAAGATTGTCTTTTTTCCATTAATAGGAAGTTAATTGGAAAACTATCTCCTTCCATTCACAATCACAAGTTACTCTGAAATTCAAATGATAGTTTAAAAAGCAGTGGTATAAAAAAAATTTAAAAAAATAAATAAATAGAAAGCAGTGGTATATACTCAGAGCTCCTTTATACCCCTTTAATCTAGTTATGATATTTATCATGACAGTAGTTTTATCACCAAAGCACTAACAAAAATATCCTCAAAATAATATGCACAAAGGCATGTTATCCTTTATATGACCTGAATTTTATAGGACATTTTTTTTTCTTACACTAGTACTGTATCATCTAGTTCCTACTTATTTTTTTTTTAAAGTACCCTCTAAATAACTGGTGAGGATGAATTACATCTATATAACAGTAGTGACATACTTTTCTTCATGAAAAAAAATAATAATAACTGGTACCTGACAAAACTTTGACATTGTGAGCTTAGGCACAAAATTAGGATTTAAAAATGTGTCTTTACCTGCCGTATTTTTAGATTTGTCTCCCCATCCAGATTAGAGGTTGCAACATAACAGGTTACTTGAGGTTCACTAAGGAAGATAAAGCAAATAACATTGAATTAATCTCCCCAAAAATTAATTTCCCAATAATGTTAACAATGAAATGGGATCTAAATCAACAGCTGAAAGGACTGTTCAAAACTGAAAGAACTACAGTTACTTTTTCAGGAGAAATTAGCAGTCTGATACTACCAGCCTAAAATTCATCTTGTAGTGGAAAACTACCCTTACAAAGCTGTGTGTTTATTCTTTAATCCCAAAAAGAGAAATGGCTGAGGGTGAATAGAAGATGTTATATAGCTCAGAACAAACCAGTGTCACAACAAAAGTCAAACCTAAAATTCTGTTATTTTCTAAAATGGGTCCATTGTAGTTCCCAATGGCTCAGGCTCTATGGCCTTCATTTTTTTTTTTAAAGATTTTATTTATTTACTTATTTAAGAGAGAACGCATGAGCTGGGGGGGTAGGGGCAGTGGGAGAGGGAGAAGCAGACTGTCCACTGAGCAGGGAACCCAATATGGGGCTCGATCCCAGGACCCTGGGACCATGACCTGAGTCAAAGGCAGATGCTTAACTGACTGAGCCACCTGGGTGGCCCTCTATGGCCTTTATTTTTTTTTTTTTTAAAGATTTTTTATTATTTATTTATTTGAGAGAGAGAGAATGAGAGACAGAGAGCATGAGAGGGAGGAGGGTCAGAGGGAGAAGCAGACTCCCCGGTGAGCAGGGAGCCCGATGCGGGACTCGATCCCGGGACTCCAGGATCACGACCTGAGCCGAAGGCAGTGGCTCAACCAACTGAGCCACCCAGGTGCCCTCTGTGGCCTTTATAATGAGAATAAAATCTTCAGGATAACTCTGGACAGAGCAGAGGCTCTCAGACAAACACTACACTTGGGCTTCTCTATTTCTATCTAACCTCACCAGTTAAGAAATCAAGACACTGAATTAATGAACATTTGCCTTGCCAGATTTTACTCCATGTCAAATGCAATTTACTCATGAAAATTAATTGTTTAGGGGGAAATGCCACAAAGAATAACAAAAATTGTCATTAAAGTTTAGTCTTGATTTTGGTCTTACTCTTTTGACTGTATCTCATTTACTGAATAACAAGTTTAAAGTAAAACAATCTGTATCAATCTTGCCAGCCAAGACCATATACCCCCAAAATAAAAATATGTCTTCATTAAAGATGCCAGTGAGATAACAAAGAACGTCCAAAAACTTTCTCTTCTATAAAACAATGAGATAACTGGAAAAAATTATGAGAATCAGCTTTTTCAGAACTCTTAAAAATTAACTAAATACTTAAATCAACCCAGGGAGATTTTATTCAAGAAAAAAAAAAGCTGAATACTGGTTTTTTAAAAAGTGAGCTTTGTAATATTTTAACTTGCCCTACTCCCACTTCCTGCTTTTGGCTCAGTGACAGCTTTAAAAAATAATAGTCCACAATCCCAGTACTGGAGGGAGCATAAAAGAGCAAGATCTCATTCAAAGCCTTGTTCCCATAGTCATTATTTCACCTATCTGATGGTTCTCTGGAAGGTCCCACTTGAAGGATTTGTTTTTATTTGACCTGACCCAGAGCTTACCCAGTGCTAAAATCCTGGGTAAACAGTGGCGTGGATTTGTTGAGAACATTTACAGGAAAGTGTTTGAACATTGCAGTTGTCTGAGGTGATGTATAATAGTTAGGGGAAACAATAGACTAACCAAAAGGCCTAAAAGAAAAACTTGTAATGAAAAGCAACAAACATAAATCCTGGGCGGGGTGCCTGGGTGGCTCAGTCGGTTAAGCCTCCAAATCTTGACCTCAGTTCAGGTCTTCATTTCGGGGTCATGAGTTCAAGCCCTGCATTGGGCTCCATGCTGGGCAGGGAACCTACTTTAAAAAATTTTTTTTAAGTAAATCCTGAGGAGGAGAGAGAATCTGATTCCCAGAGATGCCACATTATATTCTTAAGATGTTCAATTTTCAACAAAAAACCATGAGACATGAAAAACCATGAGAAGCAAGTAAGTATGACCCATACACAGATTAAAAAGCAATCAATAGGAAGTGTCCCTGAGCAAATCCAGACATTGACTTTACTAGACAAAGATGTAAATCAGATATGCTAAATATATGCAAATAGCTAAAGGAAACTATGTTGAAAGAAATAACATATTTGAACATATCCCATCAAATAGAGAATATCAAGAAAGAAATAGAAATGATAAAAAAGAAATCAAACAGAAATTCTGGCTTGAAAAGTACAATAACTGAAATGAAAAATTCATTGCTCAAATTTGAGCAGGCAGAAGAAAGACTCAAACTTGAAGATAGGTCAATTGGGATAACTCAGTCTGAGAAGCAAAAATGTAAAAGAATAAAGAAAAATAAACAGAGCCTCAGAGACCTGTGGGACACAAACAAACATACCAACATACATATAATGGGAGTCCCAAAAGGAGAATTGAGAAAGGGGCAGAAAAAAATATTTAAAGAAATGATTCCCCAAAACTTCCCAAATTTGATGAAGAACGTTAATCTACACATCCAAGAAGCTCAACAAAATAAGCCTTCAAGTAAAATATTCTCAAAGAAGCCACACCTAGACAATCAAACTGTTAAAAGTTAAAGCCAAAGAGAAAATCTGGAAAGCAAGAGGGAAAAGTCATTCACCACTTTCAAGAGATGCTAACTAAGACTATATATCATTCCTCAGCAGAAACCTTGGAGGATCGGAGTGCCTGGGTGGCGCAGTCAGTTAAGCGTCCAACTCTTGGTTTCAGCTCAGATCACGATCTCAGGGTCATGAAATCGAGCTCCATGTTGGGTTTTGCACTCAGTGCAGAGTCTGCTTGAGATTCTCTCTGCCTCTCCCTGCCCCTCCCCCTGCTCTCTCTCTCTCTCTCAAATAAATAAATCTTTAAAAAAAAAAAAACTTTGTAGGAAAGAAGGCATGAGGATGATATATTCAAAGCACTGGAAAAATACACATTCTTTTCAAGTGCCTATTGAACATTCTCCAGGATTGATCATATGCTAAACCACACAATAAGCCTCAATAAATTTAAAGGACTGAAATCATGAAAGTACGTTCTTTGATCACAATAGGATGAAGTTGGAAATTAATAGGGAAATAAATTTGGGGAACTCCCAGATAAGTGGAATTTAAAGAACACACTACTAAATAACCAATGGATCAAAAAGAACTAAAAAGGGAAGTTAAAAAATACTCTGAGGTGGATGAGAGTTAAGATACCACGTACCAAGACCTATGGGATGCAACTAAAACAGTGCTTAGAGTCTAATTTATAACTGTAAATGTCTACATTTTAAAAAAATTAAGAAGAAAAATCTCAAGTTAATAACTTTACACCTTAAAAAGCTAGGAAAAGAAGATATTTTAGATACACTTATAAAGAAAACTTAAAGTTTTCAGAATACAAGGGGGGAGCATAGGTAGATGTATTTGTCTATAAACACAAAAGATCCCTGGAAGTATACACGGGAACATAATAGCATTGAGTGTCCAATGGCAGGGAAACAGGAGGGAAGGAGATGTCACTGGATGTCTTTTCTTACGTTTTAAAACTTGAAACACATATGTGAATTATCTATTCTAAAAAATTAAATTTTTTTAAAAAGCCTGTGAAACTCCTCTTCCAAATCTGAAATACTCAAATGTACTCAGTATAGCAATCATATTACCATGATCTTGTTCAAGCCCCGACTGGCTTAGAACTTTATATTGGTGTTTCTACTTTCAAAGCATATTTTCACTCTTCTTATTATCTTTCTATTTTTACAACTACCATGTGGGAATCATAAGCTTTTTTTTTCCCTGAAAGAAGTGTGAACCAAGAACACAAATAGAAAAGATCTGTTCCAAATGATAAAGCTTTTCCATTAGATCAATAGCCCCTATTTAAAAAAATTTTGTCTCTAAATTTGATCATGAGATATTCATACCATAAAGGTGGTTCCCACTTTTAAATTATTTTTAATATAGAAGACTAATTTTTCAAACAGTGAATTTTAGTAAATTTTATATGTATCTCTTACAGATTTGAAAGATAACAAAATTTTATTTTTTGTGGGAAATATATATCCAAGAGTTTATATAATGAATGTTTATATTTTGAGAACAAAATACTGTTTTATTGCTATATATATTACAAGAGAAGAAATTGACTATTTATAGTACCTGAAAGGCCCCCCAATTGCATTTTCTTCTCTTCCTCCCAGAGATAACTACTATATTAATATTTGTGATAATCATTCCCTTCTCTTTATAATTTCATTACTACATTTGTGTGTATCACTAAGCAATATATTGGTCACTTATAATGTAAAAATTGGGGGGTTTGTATACAATAATGTCATCTCCAAATAATGAGAATTTTTTTTTTTTTACTCCTTATATACCAGTTTTTTCCTTTGATTGGGTTAAGATAGTTCCCTTTTATTGGTAGTTTTCTAGGAGGTTTTTTTTTTTTTTAAAGATTTTATTTATTTATTTGACAGAGAGACACAGCGAGAGAGGGAACACAAGCAGGGGGGAGTGGGAGAGGGAGAAGCAGGCTTCCTGCAGAGCAGGGAGCCCGATGCGGGGCTCGATCCCAGGACTCTGGGATCATGACCTGAGCCGAAGGCAGATGCTTAATGACTGAGCCACCCAGGCTCTCCGTTTTCTAGGAGTTTTTATCACAAATGTTGTATATTTTGAAATGCTTCTATTGATATGATCATGTTTTCTACCTTTTAATCACCAAAGTGAAAATGCACTAAAGTGCAATCCTTTCATTTCCTAATAATGAAACTGCTGTGGTCACCGTTCAGAAGCAGGATCAAGTCCCCCCACCCAAGATTTTGTTTGAGTGTCAAAACTGATGATGCTACAAACACACCAAAAGAGTGGGAAGGTTTATTGTTTACAAGATGCCAAAGGAGGGAACACCGAGGCTTTCCTGTCAACCAGCCCAGATGTGTGGCAGGAGAGGAAGAGAAGGGGAGGTTTAAAATTTGTCAGCAAACATCCAAAAATGGAGTCCGACTCCTTATTATAAAAACAAATTACATTCCTGTGACGAACCCCATTTGATCATATTACCATCTTTTATATTGCCAGGTTTTAAAATTTTTATACTAAAATTAACAACAGGGGCGCCTGGGTGGCTCAGTTGGTTGGGTGGCTGCCTTTGGCTCAGGTCATGATCCCAGGGCCCTGGGATGGAGCCCCGCATCGGGCTCCCTGCTCAGTGGGAAGCCTGCTTCTCCCTCTCCCACTCCCCCTGCTTGTGTTCCTGCTCTATGTCTCTGTCAAATAAATAAAATCTTTTAAAAAATAAAAATTAACAACAAAATGGGCTTGTAAATTTCCTTTATCATTCTGTCTTTAATTTTTTGTGTCAAGATTACACCAGCCTCAGAAAATTAATCAGAGGGTATTCTTTGTTTCTTTGAGCAGTTTATTGGAAGATTGGTATTTTCTCTACATTGAGTGTGATAGAATTTGACAGTTACAATGCCTGGTCCTGAAAGTCTGTTTGTGGGATTTTTTTTTTTTTTTTTTTTTTTTTACTACCTACATAGTATCTTTGATGATTATAGGACCATTCAGGTTCTATATTTCTTCTAGAATAAGTTCTGGTAAGTTATATTTTTCTATGGATTTATGCACTTCATTTAAATGCTAAAATGTGATTATAAAACTTTCATAAGATCCTCTCATTTCTTTAATCTCTGATGCATTTATACTTATATCAACTTTTCAATTTTGTAGGATTGTGTATTGGTGCCTTTCCTTTTCTTCCCTGATTAATCTTACCGGAACTTTAATTTATTAGTCTTTTTCTAAGAAGCAAGTTTTCCCCATTTTGACCTTCTCCATTGTTTTCTTTCATTAATTTCTACTTCTCTTTATTATTTCCTTATGCCTGATTTGAGTTTATTCTTTTGTACTGTAGCTAACTTCTTAGACTAGATTCTTAGCTTATTTTTTTGGCGTTTCTTTTTTAATGAAAGCATTTTAAGCTAAAAATGTCTATCAACTTAGCTGTATCATAGGAGATTTGATGTATTCTCATAACTACTAAAACCTAAGTATTTTCCAACTTCCATTCTGATTGCCTCCTTGACCCACGAATTGTTTAGAGGCATGTTTTATTTCCAACTTATAAAGTTCCTAGTTATCTTTTTATTATTGATTTCAAACTTAATAGCATTATGGTCAGAGCAAGTGGCCTGTGGAATACCAGTCCCTTAGAATCTTTTCTTTCTTATGTCCTAACAATTTTGACAAATGTTCCGAATTGTGCTTGAAGAGTATGTATATATTGCTTTTTGGTACAATACACCAAAAATTTCTATACATGCCATTATTTCAAGGTTGGCATTGCACTTTTCAAATCTACCTCCATACTGACTTTTTTCTCCATTTGATCAATTCCTGAAAGCAAACACTGAAACATCCCAGTATGATGTTAGGTTTATAAATTTCTTGTAGATGTTTAAGTTTTTTCTTTATGTTTAACCTATATCATTTAATGACAATTAAAACTGTTATGAAATGGCTTTTTTTCGTTTTCTTCAATGACACTTTATCTCAAATAATGCTTTTTGCCTCAAAGTCTATTTTATCTAATGGTGATACCATCTCTTCTGGACTTGTTTTCTTTACTATTTCTGTATGTATTTTTTCATTTCAATCTTCCTGAGCACTTGTGTTTTGTGAAATTCTTGTAAACAACATATAGCTGGACAATTTTATAATATTCTCTCTTTAACTTCTGAAATCTATTTGCTTTGTTATTGACGATGTATTTTTATTTATTCTACTACCTGATTAAGTGCATTCTATTTCTCCCTCTTTTTGCCTTTTTTTATTCTTTTAGTTACTTGTGAGGGCTTTTCCTTTTTCTCAAATAATTTTCCCCCGTGATATGGCTGGAAGCTATATATTCTATGTCTAATCATTTAGATATTAAAGTAAATTTTTAGACAAATATCCAGAGTTTAAGGTTTCTAACCAATCGATATCTTCACTCTCATTCTGAACAATATGAACACCTTTGGTATAGTTTTGATTATCACACTCAAAATTACTCTGATGTTCCCTATTTATTTAGTTCTAGCTTCAGATCCAGGAAACCCAATGAATCTAAGGGACGGACTTCCAAAAATTCTGAGAAAATGTCAGCCATTTTCTTTTGGACTGTTATCTTTTCCATTCTCTGTTTTATCTCTTTCTAATTAGAGGTTTCTTCTTTATTTTCCATGATCACATTAAATTCTCTGCTTAAAATTCTTTTCAGCACACAGGCAAGTTGAATTCAGAGATCACATCTGCATGAGCCAACTCGAATCTCACAGTTTTCCCTCCACCCTATGCCAAAGTCAAGACAAGCACATTTCTCTATTGCCCCCTACAGCATGGTGGTTTTTACTCTTCATTCTCCCTTAGTTAAGGGTGTAGTTCTCAGCTTTATGCAAGAATCGCCTACATCCTATGCTCAATGAAATGGAAGCTTATGGTCTTCGGGGTTTGGCAGAAACACTCAGGGAAAAAGCCTATACTGACACAGTATTACTGTTTAGTGTTCTTAGGATCTCACTTCATTCTGGGACTCAATGTGGTTTTCTTACTTTTATGCCCAAATAAGCATTGGGGTGTGTGTGTGTGTGTGTATCTAAGCTGTTTAGTGGGGGCAGGGTGAAAACTTAGAAAATATCTGTAAAACTGCCAGAAAAAAGTCCAAGAACAATGATTTTTTTAATCTCCCCCCTACTTCTCTCCTACTCCAAAAAAACGATTGGTTTCCATATAAGTAGTACTTTTTTGAGAGAAAGAGGCAAAGAAAGAAGCACATACAAATGATGTAGAGGTTGTAAAAACAAAGCCCTTTATGGTACATCTCTGGCTCCTGTGGTCAACCCCATACTCCTAACCAAACCTGAGAGAAACCTATCAGCAACAGTAAGTTCCTTTGTCCAATGGGTTAATGCACTGATGGCAAAAGAACAAAGTGCATCTGGTAGGAATAAGAGCTAGTGTTGGCATTACTGCTTTTGCAGAAGCTCAGACAATGGCTCTAGAACAAATCTCTCTTCCCAGTAAATCTCTCCATGCTCCAAGATGATGTGTGTCTAGAAGGCTAGGAACATTTTTATCACTTGGTGATGATTATGACTTGATCTAGCGAAACAGTTTACCCAACATGTCAAATGCAGCTGTGTTCATGACTATAGCCACCCTTACCCACAGACACCCAAGACTATGTTCTCCTTACAGAGAACATGAAGGAGGGGACAGCTGAGCTCCCCAAGGGGCCCAACATAGAAGCATATGGAGAGGTGGTCAGACATGACCTAATGGGAAGGAAATACCCATTGTAGGGAGTCTCTGTGTAAGTTTCCTCTAAAATGGCCAATGAATAAAGTTCTCACAAAAAGAACAGAAGCTGTGTTTTTAAACTTGGGCCTCACATGAGCCCACCTAATGGTATTGAAAAGATCACTTACTCTTGTGTGAGTCACTTTATTTATAGAATGGGAACATCTCAGAATTGCCATGAGATTAAAATATGATAATAAGCATATTTTTTTTAATTTTGCTGAATGTCTGTAGAAATTACAGGAGGGATAGAATTAATCTAACAATTAGGCTAGAAGAAAATATGTCCAGGGAAATTAAAGAAAAGATAATAAAAGTATAGACTAACAGTCAGCAAACTATGGCCCACAGGCTAAATCCAGGCTAAATCCTCTTTTTACAAATAAAGTTTCATTGGAACATGGCCACACCTATTTGCTTACATGTTGCCTATGGTGGCTTCTGATGCTACAACAGAGACTGCATGGCCTGCAAAGCTGAAAATATTTACTATCAGTCCTTTCACAGTAAAACTTTGCAGGTTTTGCAACTTTACTTTGCAGTAAAACTTTGCTGATCTATAATGAGAGAGAGAGGGATGCAGAAAGCGGTGAGAAGGGTAGGCCTTTGGTTTTCTTAAAATTTCTAATTCAGAATAGAAGTTCCTTAAGTGGGGGAGCTTGGGTGGCACAGTCTGTTAAACGCCTGACTCATGGTTTCGGCTCAGCTTGTGATCTCAGGGTCATGAGATCAAGCCCTGAGTGGGGCTCCACGCAGAGTCTGCTTGAGACTCTCCCTCCCAGTCTGCCACCCTCCCCCACACACTCTAAAATAAATAATAAATCTAAAAAAAAAGTTCCTTAAATGCCCACTATCATAACCAACCTAGAAGAAATCAGAACCATGTCTGCAGGAAGGAACTGTCCATTTGAGGCCTTCACAATGTCGCCCACATTTACCTATAAAACCAGGAGAGAAATCACAGAAGCATGAATTTTAAAAAAAGCAAAAATAGAGTCAAAATGTGTCGAATATTCTTAAGAAAAATTATGATGTGAAAATCCTGGAGCCATGTTAAGAAACTTCAGCTACAGTAGAACAATTTTATTTTTGGAGGGAATCATCCCTCTAAAATGGTTATTCTTTTTTTTTTTTTTTTTAAAGATTTTATTTATTTATTTGACAGAGAGACACACAGAGAGAGAGGGAACACAAGCAGGGGGAGTGGGAGAGGGAGAAGCAGGCTCCCCGCTGGAGCCCGATGCGGGGCTTGATCCCAGGACGCCGGGATCATGACCTGAGCTGAAGGCAGACACTTAACGACTGAGCCACCCAGGCGCCCCTAAAATGGTTATTTTTAACTGGGGGCTATTTTGCCCTCCCCTCCCACCAGGGACATTTGGCAATGTCCGGAAACATTTTTGGTTGTCACAACTTTGGGGTTTTAGGGGATGATGTTACTGGCATCAAGTGGATGGAGGCCAGGGATGCTGCTAAACAGTCCACAATGCACAGGACAGCCCCCCCCCACAACAAATAATTTTCTGGCCCAAAACGTAAATAGCGCCAAGTTTGAGAAATCCGAACAGACCTATTGGTAGTACTATTTTTGCAATTGTGTGCTGTTCATACACTATCACGCTGTAATCACTTGCCTAATGGTGGGCTTTTCTCTGCTGCTCTGTGAGGTCCATGTAGAACAGAAAAAATGCCCATCTCCCTCCATCAATCAATCAATCAATCAATATTTGTTGACTGAATGTATGAATGAATTCTAACTAAGAGAGATGTAAATACTAGGAACAATACCTGAAGAAAGCAATATGAGTTTCTGATGCTTTCTTCCTGTGTACTTTTTCTTTAACAAACCCCTTGAGCATTTACTCCGTGCTAGGTATTGAGGACACTTAAAATTGGCAGGACCTTCCTGGGCAGCTAGAAAAGCGGGACAGCCAGGGGGAGGTTGGGGGTAAAAATTCTTTCCTAAACCAATTTCTGGACCTATATTGAAAAAATTTCTGAGGAGGAGAAGAGAACAAGGAGACTATCTTTTATATATAATATGATTATACAGATCATTTCTATCTTCATTAATTGAACAAAGTTTAATTAAATACTTCTGGATAAAAGTGAGGAGAGAACCTTAAATGCTATAAGTGTCTATAAATGCTGAGAACACGTGCAACAGTAGGGGAGAAAAAAGGATTGACAATTAAACATTCACAACTTATATCAAGGTCACAATGCAGTGAACAATAAAGCATTTGTAACTTATATAAACAACTAACTTACAGCAAGATTTAACAATGACTAGAATGAGATAAGTTTGAGACTTTGTAATTAAAACTAGATTTCCCCCCAAGAAACAATATTGATGCAGATTATGCACCCAGGGAACTGATAGCAGGCAGTTGTACTCTAAGGGTGCTCATGACCAGCACATCTCTTACAAATTCTTTTTCTCTTTTGCCCAAAGGACCCCCAAATCAACTCCCTTTTCCTTTTGTAAGCACCTGATGTGTAATGTGCTCTGTTTGCTTGTACAGGTGGTAAAATGAGTCAGAGGGATAAGAATTCCTGGTCCTTGGCTCTAGCTGGCTCGTTCTTCCAGTGGAAGACGCTGGGGGTAAGTAAATTAAAGCTCAGATCATGCAATCACCTCTGCACAGAAAGAAGCCCCCCTCCCCCTGCTGCAGCCTCACTCCTCTCCTGTCTCTCACCAACCCTCTCCCCTGAGACTTTGCCAACCAGGAATGGAGTGGATCTCTCAGGGACTTTTTTCTCTTAGTCCCAATGAGAAGAGCAAAATGTAATCATGGTTGACTCACCCGCTCTAGCTCTTTCAGGGAAAGACATACTGATGATACTTAGAAATCAAAACACTCTTACAACTAGTGTTCAAAGGAATTTTACACTGGTCAGTAATGAATTATTGATGAGGACAAAGTATCTAGCCCCACTATGCCTTTAACCTCTATCCCAAGGGCAAATATTCATGAAAATATTCCCTGAGGTAGTCTCCATATAAAGGTTGCCTTGTACCCTGAGCAACAGTTTGTGAAGCATCATCTTTAAATATTCCAGTCAATGACACAAAAGTAACACCGAGGCACATTAGAAAGCATGTAGACTTCCAACCAAACAGACTTAAATTCAAAGCCTATTTTCACCACTTTCAGGCTGTGTGAGCTTGAGCAAAATAGTTATTCCCTTTGATCCTCTACTTCCTTCCTCATCTACAAAATAGGATAATTTGACAGTTCTTGAAGACATGTTTCAGAGATAAAAATCTGTAACTCTAAATATGGTAGGTGCTTATTACTAACTTAAAATATATTCTTACCTCTTTCCACATAATCATTTTCCATGCATTCTCTCTTAACACTGGAAAACACAGAACTATGTATTAACTGTAACAATTGCATTAGGTAAAGTCCAAAATAATAGAAGATATTTTTCCAAAAAACTAAATGTGTTTCTTTATAAAGTACTGTCTTTATTAATTTAACCTTGATATAAACTGGAAAAATATGTAAACTGTGTTCACATGCACTGCACCAAAATAGAGCAATATGTATAATATAATGTAACTTAACATAAGGATAGATGACTGTTAGGTAAAGCTATGTTAAGTACTTCTGATCCTAAAGAGAAAACAGTTTGCTGTTACATGCTAAAATACTGGCTGATAGCCCAAAAGCAACATTATATATTTCTAATCAATTACAAAGATAACACATATCAAAACTAGGACTGAGAGAGACTATGTAACACCCAGATCTTTTTTATCGACATAAGAATTGCTCATATCCCAAATATTCCAATTTTATTTTATTCTAATTAACATAATTGATGATTGTCACATATAGAAAACAAGTTTCCTAATGGTTGTTGTTTTCTATATTTCTTTAAATAATGAAACATTATGAAACATAGTACATATATCTATTTGGTCAATTTGGATATTTTTTATAGTGAAAGGGAATAAAAGTTTAATCTAACATCTTACCCATTGTGGTCTTTGTGTTAACTAATTTGTCTGCCATATGTCGTTTCTGTTATAGAAAAAAATCCATTATGTTAAAAGTTCAAAGTGAATAATCCACATCATAATACAAGTCATAGGAGGTTTAGGAAAGAATAGAGGCAGCAAACCTGATTGTAAAGGATTTTGGGGGTTTTTTTTTGTTTTGGGGGGTTGTTTTTTTGTGGGGTTTTTTTGGCTATAACTAATTTCAATTTTGTTTTGCTCTTATCCGACTCTCTAAATTAAGATGTGATCTAAGGGAAGGAGTATAGCGAAGTGGTTAAGCATGTGGCCCCTAGAGACAGCTTACCTTGGTTGACATTCCAGCTCTGCCTCTTATGAATGTAGCCATGTCAGGTCACGAACCAGTATGTGCCTCAGTGTAATTGAATACACGCACACGCATACAAATACATACAATACAGGGCCTCCTACATAGTGAAGTGCTACTTAAAATGTCAGCATATTATACGTTGCTTTCAATGACTATCTTTCTAGTTAAACACATAATTAACAATCTTGAATTATGCCCCAATTTAGCTCAAGGCTTTTGATTAAGTTTGAAAAATTCTTTCATCTTATAAAGCAATCAAAAGACCAGCAACCAAATAGATCTTACTGATGACCTATCTTTTCAAGATATGAAGGAATGAGGCAGAATCATAGGAGTAACAATAGCTAGCAATTTTGGAAAACGAGCATTAGGACTGTGAGTGAGGAGGAAGGGGACTCTACTAGAGTGACCCCAGCTGTAGCAGGTTGGGTCAGAACAAACAGAAAATATAAATTTCTCTCTTCTTTTCCTTCACTGCTGAAATCTGTAGGCTCATGTGAAATTCTATCTGTGGGGTCACCCGGGTGGCTCAGTCTGTCTGAGTCAGATTAAGCGGTTAAGTGTCTGTCTTCAGCTCAGATCATGATCTCAGGGTCATGGGATCGAATCCTTTAGCCCGTTAGGATTTTCTGGTTGCATTATAGCCTCAAAGATATATCTTATGACCACAATTAAGTCCCACTGGTTTCTCAAATACACACACACACACACACACACACACAATGTAAGATTTGAAATCTTAAAACTTTAATTTGATTTTTCACATCAACTACAGATTTAAAAAATTATACCCGTTCCAACAAGAAGCTTGAAAACAACAACCATGTCTCTTCTACTCAAGGGAGTAGTTTTGAGAACGTTTCACTAACAGTAAACTTACATAATCTTCTACAATCTCTTTGATGCCTGAAACCATAAGAATCATCATCAAAGGCAAGAGAGTTGTATATTTTCCCGTTGGAGACACATCTGGAATTTGCTGCAAAAACAATCAGAGTGACCATGAATCTTATGATGACTCTTATATTTTGCTTAACACTAAAAGTCAGGCTACTAGTGGCATACCCGGGACGTAAGAACAACCCACAGTGTTAAATAAAAAGAGGAGGGAGACTTTTAGCATATCAAAACCGTCCCTGAAGCAGGACACTAAACATTATGCAAAAGTGCGACTTCTTAACACTTTGGTCATTATGTCACCTTTCCAATACAATACTTTCGTTACATTTTGAAGAGAATAGTTCAAAACTTACAATGTCTAAAATACCATCCTTTCAAAATAGTTAAATCCAGAAGGTCAGTTAACTGAATCTTCTTTTTGAGGCAAAAGAGAAATTTTTTTTGGAGGCACAGGCAAATAACATTTCTTATAATTTCCGGTGGAAGGCACCCTGGGTCTACCCACTACTGTTTAAAATATGAGAAATAAAATGGGGTGCCTGGGTGGCTCAGTTAAGTGTCTGGCTCTTGATTTCGGCTCAGGTCATGATCTCAGTGTTGTGAGATTGAGCCCTGCATGGGGCTCCGCACTGAGCGTGGAGCCTGCCTTTAGATTCTCTCTCTCTCTCTCTCTCTGCCCCTCCTTGCCCCCCTCGCCCCTGCTCACACTCTCTAAATAAATAAATAAATAAATAAAATATGAGAAATAAAGTGATAAACAGGCTGTGGCAGTTTCCTGATGGACAGAAGGGTAGGTGAGGTCCTAGATTGGCCCCTTTAGTTTTCCAGATTTAGACCAGTTCTTAGCCCTGTATTTCCAGACTTGGGCCTGTGTGTACCTTCTATGCTGCCTTATTTCCTGCTTGCTTATCTCTCTGTGTAGCAAAATAGTGTTTATTTTGAAACTCTCGATGATTCTTATAGTTACTTTAAAAGCAATCTGAGGGGGCACCTGCGCGGCTCAGTTGGTTAATCATCTGCCTTTGGCTCAGGTCATGATCTCAGGTCCTAGGATGAGTCCAGAGTGGGGCTCCCTGCTCAGGCGGGAGCCTGTTTTTCCCTCTCCCTCTGCCCCTCCCCCTGCTCATGCTCTTTCCCTCTCTCTCTCAAGTAAATAAATACAATCTTTAAAAAATAATAAAAATAAGTTAAAATTAAATAAAATTACATCAATACATAAAAAATAAAATTACATAAATACATAAGAAATAAAATTACATAAATACATTAAAAATTACATAAACAAATACATTAAGAAATAAAATTACATACATACACACATAAAAATACATAATAAATAATAATTAAATTAAATTAAATAAAAATAAACAAAATAAATAAAATAAAATAAATAAAATACATACAATACAATACAATTCGAGAACCAGAAGAGAAAGGGGAGAAATTTTAGGATTGCTTAGGCTATCAATTAAATCTGTCTTTCCTATAACTCCTATCTGCCCCCTCCTCTCCATCTCTCTCTGCAGGGCCCCTCCAAGCCAGTCTTGTCATTCACAGGCCTCTCTCGTCTCTCCCTCAGTTAAGCCTAACCAGAGCTGGTCGCTTCACTCTAGCTCCTGTCACTGCCTTTTTCCTATCCCTAGAATACAGTCCAAGCTTCTGAATGTAGCACACTAGGCTTCTTATAACCTGATCTCAGCTGACATCTTTAGCTTCTTTTCTACCCTATGCTCCAAACAAAAATTTTGCTGTTTCCTAGAACATTTCATACACTAGAAAAAAACTTAATACTTGCAATTTTCACAATTCAAAATACATAATTGTTCTCAGAGAAAATTCTACCTCTTTCCCTCCCCCCTTCTTTGTCCCTGTTTCCTATAAAAGGCAACCAGTGCTTCCTGTTTGTGCCTTTGCTCACACAGTCTCCTGTGCCTGAAAGGCCTTCTCTCCTTCCGCTGCCCCTCTGCTTACTGTTAGACTCCTCCTCCTCTAATCTTTGGCTCAAAGGTCATCTTTTTCACTAGCTTTTCCTGAACCACTCACCCTCAAGCCCAAAGGACGCTGTGTTCCCCTAACACTTTATAAATATTTCTTAAAGTATTTGTATGTTAAGACTACCAGCTCTCCAAAGGTAGGAGCTAGGTCTAATAATTCATCCTTGAATTCTTAATTCCATGCACAAATTTTGGTACACACTTATGTTGACCTCTATAAATGTTCACTAATGCCAGTCTTCTGTTTAAGTTCAATTCAACAAATTCACTAAATTTTTATCCCAAAGCTTGGCCACTTTGAACGCACTATTTCTATTCAAGAAATTTTCAGTTTTCCAGGAAAAATAAAATCAGTTATAACATACGGCACAGATCACAGCTACAGAAGATGAAGATGGAGCATGGCATTTCGTGAAGTTTGAAGGAAGGTGATTTTGAGCTGCGCCTTTAAGAGAATGGATAGATTATAGCCAGATGAGTGTCTTCTGGGTTAGGTAATAGAATGAACCAAGGTCTAGAGATAGGAAGAAAATTGGGGAATTGTGAGGAGGCTTGCCTCTTGGGTTGTGCTGGATTGTAAGGGTTCATGATGAAAATAAGTTTGAATAAACAGGAATAAACCAAAATATGGAAAGTCTTGAATTTAACTGTTTTGAAAAGATGTTATTCCTAAAAGAAAACAGAGGGAAAGCTTCTAGACATTGGTCTTGGCAATGATTTCTTGGATATGATGCCAAAAGCACAGACAACAAAAGCAAAAATAGACAAGTGGGACTACATCAAACTGAAAAGCTTCTGCACAGCAAGGGGAACCGTCAATAAAATGAAAAGGCAACCTACAGAATAGGAGAAAATATTTGAAGCCCCCCCATCTGATAAAGATATTTAGGAACTCCAACTCAATAGGAAAAAAAAAATAATAATCCAATCAAAATGGGCAAATGACCTGAATAGACATTTCTCTAAAGACAACATGCAAATGGCCAAGAGGTACATGAAAAGGTGCTCAACATCACACTAATCATCACACAAATGAAATTCCAAATCACAGTCAGATATCACCGCACACATGTTAGGATGGCTATTAGCAAAACACAAAAAAATAACAAGTGTTGGTGAGGATGTGAAAAGATTGGAACCCTTGTACACTTCTGGTGGGAATAGAAAATGGTGCTGCTGTTATAGAAAGTAATATGAAGCTTTTACAAAAATTTAAAAATAGAACTACCATATGGATCAGCAATCCCACTTCTGGGTATTTATCCAAAAGAGTTGAAATCAGGATCTTGGAGACACAGCAGCACTCCCATGTTCATAGCAGAATTTTTCACCATAGCCAAAATATGGGAATAACCTCAATGTCTGTCGATGGATGACTGGATAAAGAAAGTGTGGCATATATACAATGGGATATTATTCAGACTTTAAAAAAGGGATATTATTCAGACTTAAAAAGATGGAAATCCTGCCATACATAACAACATGGATGAACTTTGAGGACATCATGCTAAGTGAAATGAGCTACACACAGAATGACAAATCCTGCATAAGTCCACTTATGAGACATCTAACATGGTCAGATTCATGGAATCAGAGTAAAATGGTGGTGTCAGGGGCTAGAGAGAGGGAGAGATGAAGAGTTGTTATTCAATGAGCATAAAGTTTCAGTTATGCAAAATTAATAAGTCCTAGAGATCTGCTGTACAACAGATGTCTATGGTTAACACTGCTATACTGTATACTTAAAATTGTTAAGGGGGTAGATCTCACATTAAGTGTTCTTACTGAAATACAAAAAAAGAAAAGAAAAGAAAAGAAAATTAGCTATTTTAAACTAGCATTTGGACTTTCTTTAAACTATTCCTTTAAATATATTAAAATTATCCTATCATGGAAGTGGCATAAATTATAGAAGTTGGTCCAATAATATCTCATTAGTGATCTAAATCAGGAAGAACTGTGGACCAAGTCATATATTGGGCATAAACATGTTTTTCAGCCCCAAAATGGGTCTTACTGAGTAACTTAAATATTATAAGAAGAGAATTCTCTTCTTAACAGTGTTTGAATTTATTCTCTACATCAAATTCTTATTTCAGCTAAATGAGCTTTTTATATTTTCTTTTCTAAAAAGCTTACTCTAATAATGTGTTCAGAAATATTACCTGCAATATAGTAATGAACAGGAAGAAAGCATTAGCAGCTTTGCTAAACTGCAGATACAAATATCGAGGGAGGAATGACCACATGCTGTACTTGGCTGTGCTGTAGGTAAAAAGAAAAATGTCATTATCAGTTAACACTGTGAACTCTAAAAACACCAAAGGAAAACCCAGAAGTAGATAAAATATTGTTATCAAACACTGACTCTTTTCTAAAGATTTTTTTGCCATTTTTAAAAACATTATTATCTGAAAACAATGTCAGGATAAAGAAAGAATTTTCCCCATTTCAGGAACTAAGTACTATGAATACAGTAGATAAGCAAGATGTATTCCACATTTTCTAATGGCCTGTAATTCTTGTAACAAAACTTCTAAACATTCATCTTATAGTTCAAGGATAATAAGAGTCACCCATTTTTCTCCCTTCTCTCCCTCACAGGTTCTTTATCACTAAGTTATCTTAAATCCATCAACCTCCCTCCCCTACCCCCAATGCCTACGCCACATCATGGACAAAGAAAATAATCACAGGTGTGTTTCTTGTTTTCTAATGAATCTACTATATTTTAAAATCAGAAAGACCAGGAGTTTTGGGAAGACAACAGAATAGGAGGATCCAGAGTTCAACTTGTCCCACAAACACACCAAGATAACAGCTCCAACACAGAGAAGCCACACCAAAAAGGGCAGGAGGGGCAGAGTTCCAGTTGGGAACCAAATTCCCTGTACAACTAACCACAAACGGGGAGGGGGGGTGCAGCACAAGTCCCAAGAAGCAGGAGGATCTGATCCCACACAGGGCACCCCCAGACTTGGGGACTCACACTGATGAGTCCCCAAAAATCTGGCTTTGAAAACCAGCAGGGCTTCAATCCAAGAGCTGTAAAACTCAGCAGGCCTAACTGTGGGAGAGCCAGAGACTGAGAGAAAGCTGAGTCCCTGCCCTTAAAGAGCCAGTATACTAAACTCAGACCAAGACCCAACACAGAAGCAGCAGTTTGAAAAGCACATGGGGTATACAGGAAGGAGATTTATTTACTAATGTTAAAATGTGTGCTGGAGGAGCAAGAGGCTGCATGAGATTTTTCTAGGAACAAGAGTGCTGGCAGAGGCCATTTCTCTTTCCCTTCCTCAGCCTAGATAGCCAGATGTTTGTGGGAGCTAGAAATACTCTTCATCTACCTTGCTAGCATTAGGGTGCCCCACCCCAGCATTCCCCTGTGGACCCACCCCATCCAACCTGCTTGATTCCTCAGCAGCCATCCTGCCAAAACAGCTCCTACCCCACCACACCCTGCAAGCAACTCCCACAGGGACCAGAACCACTTCAAAGTGACTCCTGCTCTGGAAAGAGGGAGAGATAACCCCACATACCAACATGCCCACAGTTTCTGCAGCCAGGCCTCTTAGCTGGCTATGCAGAAAGCAAGCCCTGCCCTACTGTGCATCAGCAGCTGTGTCAGAGAGGCTATTTGCAGACAACTAGGCTGACTTCTGGCCCTGCCCACCAGCAAGCCCACAGTAGCCACAGACAGGTCTCTCCACAGTACAGGGAGCAAACCCTGTCCTGTGCACAAACAGAAGGAAAGGTGGGTCATTGCAGCTGGCTAAACTAAGGGTAACTGAGGCCCAACCATAAGAGGAGGGTGCAAGTAGCCCACACAGGGGACACCCCTGGAGGATGTGGCTCTGGTGACCAAGGGAGATTGCACTGTAGGGCACCACTCTTCTACAGAAGGCCAGTATGTTCAAGTCCAGGAGATGTAAGCAACCTACCTAATACACAGATAGAGACACAGAGTTAGACAAAATGAGGAGACAGAAGAATATGTCACAAATGAAAGACCAAGACAAAAACCACAGGAAAAGACCAAAATGAAACAAAAATAATATGCCTGATAAAAAAAATTCAAAGTACTGATCATAAAGATACCCATGGGACTTGAGAAAAGAGTGGATGTACTCAGTGAGAACTTCAACAAAGAGACAGAAAAAATTAAAAAACCAGTGAGAGCTGAAGAATTCAATAACAGAAATAAAAAATACACTAGAGGGAACCACAAGCATATTAGAGGATGCAGAAGAACAGATTAGCAATCTCAGACAGGGTAATGGAAAGCAACCAAGCTGAACAGCAAAAAGAAAAATCAATAATGGGGCACCTGGGTGGTTCAGTCGTTAAGCGTCTGCCTTCAGCTCAGGCCATGGTCCCAGGGTCCTGGGATCGAGCCCCACATCGGGCTCCCTGATCCGCGGGAAGACTGCTTCTCCCTCTCCCACTCCCCCGGCTTGTGTTCCCTCTCTCGCTGTGTCTCTCTCTGTTAAATAAATAAAATCTTTAAAAAAAAAGAAAAATCAATAATAAAAAAATGAAAATAGGTTAAGGGGACTCTGTGGCATCATCAAGTGTAATAACATTCGCATTATAGGGATTCTAGAAAAAGAAGAGAAAGAGGGACGTCTGGGTGGCTCAGTTGGTTAAGCATCTGCCTTCAGCTCAGGTCATGATCCCAGGGTCCTGGGATCAAGTCCCGCATTGGGCTCCTTGCTCAGCAAGGAGCCTGCTTCTCCCTCTGCCTGCCACTCCTGCTGCTTGTGCTCACTTTCTCTAATAAATAAATAAAATCTTTAAAAAAAAAAAAAAAGAAAGAAAAAGAAGAGAAAGAGAAGGGGGCAAAAAATTTATGTGAAGAAATAGCTGAAGATGACTCTAATCTGGGGACATCAAGATATAGGAAGCAGAGAGAGTCCCTAACAAGATGAACCCAAAGATATCTACACCAAGACATATAATAATTAAAATGCCAAAGAGTAATGATAGAGAATTTTTTAAAAAGCAAGAGACAAGCAGAGAGTTACATACAAGGAAAACCCCATAAAGAGCTATAAGGTGATTTTTCAGCAGAAACTGCAGACCAAAAGTTCAGAATGCTAAAAGAAAAAAAAAAAAAACAACCCTACAACTAAGAATATTCTATCCAGCAAGTTTACCATTCAGAATAGAAAAAGAGGTAAGGAGTTTCCCAGACAAACAAAAGTTAGAGGAGTTCATCTCAACTAAAGCAGTCTTACAAGAAATGTGTAAGGAAATTCCTTAAGTGGAAAGAAAAGGCCATAATTAAAAGTATGAAAGGAAAAAATTTCACAGGTAAAAGCAAACATAGTAAAGGTAGTAGATGAATCACTTATAAAGTGACTATGAAGGTTAAAGGACAAAAGTAGTGGGGCGCCTGGGTGGCTCAGTTGGTTAAGCATTGGACTTTGACTCAGGTCATGATCTCAGGGTCCTGGTATTGAGCCCCACGTCAGGCTCTGGGGAGTCTGCTTCTCCCTCTCTCTCTCTCTCTCTCTCCCTCTGCCCCTCCCCCTGCTTGTGCTTCCTCTCCATCTCTCTCAAATAAATAAAATCTTTATTAAAAAGAGACAAAAGGGGACGCCTGGGTGGCTCAGTTGGTTAAGCAACTGCCTTCGGCTTGGGTCATGATCCTGGAGTCCTGGGATCAAGTCCCGCACGGGGTCCCTGCTCAGCAGGGAGTCTGCTTCTCCCTCTGACCCTCCCCCCTCTCATGCTCTATCTCATTCTCTCTCTCAAATAAATAAATAAAATCTTAAAAAATAAATAAATACATACTTTATTTAAAAAAAAAGGAGACAAAAGTAGTAAAATTACCTTCCAAAAAAACTGGCCAAAATAAAAAGACATAAGATATGACATCATATACATAAAACAGAGGGGGAAGTAAAAATTTAGTGCTTTTAAAATGTGTTTGAACTTAAGTGACTATCAACTTAACATAGAGTGCTAAATTCATAAGATTTCATATAGATGATCCTGATGGTAACCATAGATCAAAAACCTATAATAGTTACACAAAAAATAAAGAGAAAGAAATCCAAGCATAACACTAAAGAAAGCCATCAAACCACAAAGAAAAAGAGCAAGAAAAGAAAGGAACAGAGAAGAACAGAAAACAACCAGACACAATTGGGAAAAAATGACAGGAAGTAAATACCTATCAATAATTAAATGTAAATGGACTAAATGCTCAAATCAAAATACATAGGGTACTGAATAGATAAAAACAAACAATAATAAACAAACATAATCCATAAGCTGCTTATAAGTTACTCACTCCAGACCTAAAGACCTGAAAGTGAAGAGATGAAAAAACATACCAAGCAAATGGGAGCTAAAAAAAAAAAAAAAAAGCTGGGGTAGCAATACTTATATCAGACTAAATAGACCTTAAAACAAAGACTATAGCAAGAGACAATACACTACACAATGATAAAGGGATTAATCCAACAAGAGGATATAACAATTGTAAATATCTATGCACTCAACCTAGGAGCACCTAAACACAAATAGCGAACATTAACAGTAATAAAGGAAGAAACTGACAGTGATACAGCTAATAGTAAAGGACTTCAACACTCCACTTACATCAATGGATGGATGACCCAGAGAGAAAATCAAGGAAACAGTAGCTGTGAACCAGATTAGACCAGAAGGACCTAATAGATATAAACAGGATATTCCATCCCAAACAGCAGAATACACATTCTTTTCGAGTGCACATAGAATATTCTCTAGAGTAAATCATATATTAGGCCACAAAACAAGTCTTTGTAAATTTAGAAGATTGGGGAAATCGGAGGGGGAGACGAACCATGAAAGACTATGGACCCTGAGAAACAAACTGAGGGTTCTAGAGGGGAGGGGGTGGGGGGATGGGTGATGGGTTAGCCTGGTGATGGGTATTAAAGAGGGCACATACTGAATGGAGCACTGGGTGTTATAGGCAAACAATGAATCATGGGACACTACATCAAAAACTAATGATGTAATGTATGGTGATTAACATAACATAAAAAAAGACATTAGTAGAGTAATTAGTAAAATTTGAATAAGGTCTATAGATTAGATAATAATATCAAATTGATGTTACTGTCTTGATTTTTATAATTATACTATGTCTATAAGGGAAAATGGTCTTATTTTCAGGAAATACACACTGATGTAAATAGGCGTATTTGCAATCCAATCTCAAATTGTTCAGAAAAAAAATGTGTGATATATATGTGTGTGTGTGTGTGTGTGTATGAGAAAGAGACTACATAGAGAAAAAATTATATATATATGAGAGAGAAGGAATAATAAGACAAATGTGGCAAAATGCTAATATTTGCAAAAAAAAGTATCAAGCATCTTTTCTGACCAAAATGATATGAAGCTAGAAATCAATTACAAAAAAGAAAACTGTAAAAAACACAAACATGGGGTGTCTGGACGGCTCAGTCGGTTACTCTTCTGCCTTCGGCTCAGGTCATGATCCCAGGGTCCTGGGACTGAGCCCCTCATCTGACTCCCTGCTCAGCAGGGAGCCTGCTTCTCCCTCTCCCCCTCCTCCCCACTCGTGCTCACTCTCTGTCAAATAAATAAATAAAATCTTTAAAAAAAAAAAAAAAAAGCAAACACAAGCACATGGAAACTAAATAACATGCACCTAATCAATGAAGAAATCAAAAATTACATGGAGACAAATGAAATTGGAAACACAGTGGTCCAAAATCTTTGGGACACAGTAAAACCTATGGAAGGAAGTTTATAGTGATATAGACCTACTTCAAGAAATTAAAAAAAAAATCTCAAACAACCTAACCTTACACCTAAAGGAGCTAGAAAAAGAAGAATGAATGAAGTCCAAAGCTAGTAGAAGGAAGGAGACAATAAAGATTAGAATAGAAATAAATGAGACTAAAACATTAGAAAAAATAAATGAAACCAAGAATGGTTCTTTAAAAAAGATAAAAATCGATAAATTCTAACCAGAGTCATCAAGGAAAAAAATGACTCAAATAAAGTCAGAAATGAAGGAGGAGAAATAACCAACACCACAGAAATACAAAGGATTATAAGAGAATATTATGAAAAAATTACATGCCAAAAATTGGACAACCTAGAAGAAATGGATAAATTCCTAAAAACATACAATATTCCAAAACTGAAGCAGGAAGAAATAGAAAATTTGAACACACAGATTGCTAATATTGAAATTGAACTGGTAACCAAGAAACTCCACAAACAAAAGTCCAGGACCAGATAGTTCCACGGGTGAATTCTGCCAAACTTCTGAAAAAGAGTTACTGTATAGTCTTCTCAAACTATTCCAAAAAAAAAAAAGAAAGAAAGAAGAAGAAGAAGAGGAAGGAAAACTTCCATATTCATTCTACAAGTCCAGCATTACCCTCATACCAAAACCAAATAAAGACACTGCAAAAAAGAAAATCACAGGCCAATATCCCTGATGAGAATAGATTAAAAAATCCTCAACAAAATAGTACCAAACTGAATCCAACAATACATTAAAAGAATCATTCACCAGGATCAAGTAAGATTTATTCCAGAGATGCAAATGTGGTTCAATATTTGCAAATCAATTAGTGTGATATATCATATCAACAAGAAAAAGGATAAAAACATATGATCATCCTAATAGGTGCGGAAAAAGCAATTGACAAAATATAACATCCATTCTTAATAAAAACTCTGAACAAAATAGGTTTGGAGGAAACGTACCTCAACATACTAAAGGTTTTGTATGAAAAACCCACAGCTAACACTACACTCAACAGTGAAAAACTGAGAGATTTTCCTCGAAGGATCAAAAACAAGAAAAGGGTGTCGACTCTCACCAATTTTATTCAAAATAGTACCGCCAAATCCTAGCCACAGCAATCAGAAAAAAAAAGGGGGGGTATCCAAATTGATAAGGAAGAAGAAAAGCTGTCACTAGGTGCAGTTTCATGATGATACATGAAAAACCCTTAAAGCTCCACCAAAAGACTATTAGGACTGAGAAATGAATTTAGGAAAGTTGCAGAATTCAAAGTTAATATACAGAAATCTGTTGTGTTTCTATACACTAATTATGAAGTTACAGAAAGAGAAATCAAGAAAAAAAAATCCCATTCACAATTGCACCAAAATAAAATACCTAGGAATAAACTTAATCAAGGAGGTGAAAGACCTGTACTCTGAAAACTCTAAAACAGTGATGAAAGAAACTGAAGATGACACCAACAAATAGCAAGATATTTCGTGCCCATGGATTGGAAGAATCAATATTTTTTAAATGTCCATACTACCCAAAGCAATACCTATCAAAATACCAACATTTTTCATAGAACTAGAATAGTCTTCAAATTTGTATGAAGCTGCAAAAGACCCCAAGTAGCCAAAGCAATCTTGAGAAAGAAGAACAAAGCTAGACATATCACAGTCCCAGATTTCAAGATTTACAATAAACCTATAGTAATCAAAACAGTATGGTCCTGGCACAAAAATAGACACATAGATTAATAGAACAGAATAGAGAACCCAGAAATAAACCCACACATACGATCACTTAATCTACGACATAGGAGGCAAGAATACACAATGAGGAAAAGAGTTTCTTTAAGAAATGGTACTGGGAAAACTGGACAGCTAAATGCAAAAGAATGAAACTGGACCACTTTCTTACACTACACACACACACACACACACACACACACACACACACAAACCCTCAAAATGGATTAAATATCTAAATGTGAGACCTGAAATGATAAAACTCCTAAGCAGTTATTTCTTTGGCATTGGATGTAGAAATATTTTTTTAGATATGTCTTCTCTGGCAAGAGAAACAAAAGCAAAATTAAACTATCAGGATTACACTAAAATAAAAAGCTTTTGCACAGTGAAGGAAACCATAAACAAAACAAACAGGCACCCTACTGAGTGGGAGAAGATATTTGCAAATGATATATCCAATTAGAGGTTAACATCCAAAATATATAAAGAACTTATTCAACTTAACACCTCCCCACAATTAATCTGATTAAAAATGGGCAGAGGACCTAGACATTTTTCCAAAGAAGACATACAGATGGCCAACAGATACACAAAAAGATGCTCAAGATCACTAATCATCAGGGAAATGCAAATTAAAATCACAATGAAATATCACCTTACACCTGTCAGAATGGTTAAAATAAAAAAAGAAATAAAAAAAAAGAAATAACAAGGATATGGAGAAAAAGGAACCCTTGCACACTGTTGGTAGGAATGCAGATTGGTGCAGCCCCTGTGGAAAACACTATGGAGGTTCCTTGAAAAATTAAAAATATAATTACCATATGATCTAGTAATTCACTTTGGATATTTATCCAAAGAAAACGAAAACCTAAATTCACAAAGATCATGCACGCCTATATTTACTGCAGCATTATTTACAAGATATGGAAGCAACCCAAGTGTCCATCCATAGTTCAATGGGTAAAGGTGTAACACATATATACAACAGAATATTACTCAGTCATAAAAGAGAATGAAATCTTTCCATTTGCAACAGCATGGATGGACCTAGAGGGTATGATGCTAAGTGAAATAAGTCAGAGAAGGACAAATACTATATGATTGCAGTCGTATGGGAATTTCAAAAAGAAACAAAAAAGAGACAGACTCAAATGCAGAGAATGAACTGGTGGTTGTCAGAGGGAGGTGAATGGGGGGGTGGGTGAAATAGGTAAAGGGGATTAAGAGTACAGTTATCTTGATGAGCACTGAGTAATGTATAGAACTGTTGAATCACTATATTGTAATCCTGAAATTAATATAACTCTGTATGTTAACTAAACTTCAATTAAAAAAAAGAAGCCAAATGCTCAATTCCCTAATATAGGATATTGGTGGACAATTCAGCAGATCTGTGAGATTCCACTGGAAAGCACTTTACCTCATAGGTAGGTATTACTAAAGAGAGCTCCCAAATGGCAGTGTGCTGCTTGGTATTGCCATGAACAGGCACAAGTGAGAGGAGAGGCCAACTCAGAAAGAAACCTTGAAGGTGAGATGAAAACACAGCCTCTTCTTGGTGGTGAACTTGAGAATTCAAAGTTTCTCAAGGCCTGAGACAACTGTTATAGCCTGAAGCATCCACACCAAGTGTTTCTTGCAGGTGAGGACCACATCTTCTTCCTCCTTCCTCTCCTCCCAGCTACACACACTTCTCACCTGATTGAGTTTTTGCAGAAACTGTTCCTAAGGGGTTCATTGAGGTAAATGGTGCGGACTTTGGACACATCTGATTCTTGCAGAGATTGTTGCCAGCCCATCTTTGCCTCCACCTTCTGACAGCCCAAAGAGAAATCGACAGGTCCTGCATCAAGAAGGCATAGGGATGTTACACAGAAATGCAAATGAAGTCAGGCTCCAGGGACAGTACGAAGTGCACTGTGTATTCTGGTTGGGCACTTCAGCCTCTGTGAGTCCCCTGGAGGCAGACTGCTTTCTTAGCCCCCAGCTCCTCATCTACCCAATCCACTTCTCCAGGGATTGGGCCCCCTAGACCTCCCCTGCCACCTTGCATTGGGGGAGGCAGCTCTACTTCCCTCACAGCTCCCACACCCCGCTCCCCTCCCCTCCCCAGCCCCAGAGGCTCTGGGTGGGCACTGACACTCTGCCCAGGGAGGAGACTGGGAACCAAGCAGTGATATAGGATCCAGCAGCTGGGTCAGAAAGAGGAGGGGGAGGGGAGAAGGTGAAGAGGGCTGGGGGACAGGGAAGGGAGAGTGTCTTGGCTGAAGAGCAACAGTTCCCTGACCAGAGAGCAACTCCTGGCCATGATGGCCTTAACACTCCCCTCAGTTTGACTTAATTTTAAACAGATGTCTTATCCATAGACCCCTGAACTCCCTTTCCTTTTTGCTAACATAAAACATTTACCTTAGAATACCTAACCATAAATTCTTAACTCTACTCCCTTTGAAATGTATATAAACCTCCTTAAAAGCCCCTTGCCAGCTTTAAGATCCAGGGAATGCCTTTCTCAAGGACCTGGGATGTCTCTGAAATGTAATCATCAAAGATCTCCATGGTAAGGTAGGAGCCTAACTTCAGGGGGTGCCTTGCTCCAAGTATAAAACTCCTTCCTGTCATGAAGATAAGAGAAAATGTACTTATTCTTTGGGCAAGGCCAGTTAGCAGACACAAATGGCCAATGACAATCCCCACGTTCCCCACCCCAGCTCTTATAAACTCTCCCATCTTTCGTTTCAGCTGAGGTGAGTTCAGTTTCTCTCCCTATTGCAATAGTCTTTAATCAAGTATTCCTTGCCTGGTTGACTTTGCCCAGGCAATGTTTGCTTTGATATCTCCTAACCCAAAAATGAATGAGGTTTTTGACCAAGGGGCCAAGGAAAGTCCCATTTGTTTCTGATGAGAAATAGAGGCTAGTATGCTCTCAACAGTAACAAGCATCTTTGTGCCAGTCCATGTGCTCAAATTTCCTCAGACTTGCCAAAAGTCCTGTAGTGCAGGATTGACATGGATATTCAGATCCTGGAGTGAAGGAACTTTCCCACCATCATTTATGTTTAGTTTAGCTATTTCTCTTCAAGCATTTCCCTAACGACCCATCCATGTGTGACTGTGAAGAAACAAAAGGTGAGTGATAGTTAACTAAGGAGCTGCTGATGAAAATAAATAAAGCTCAAATCACCTGACTAGAGACCTGTGATCTTCAAGGCTACCTGCTAACCAGCTACCTGAGAGAAGAGTGCCCGTGACCAAGAATCCTAGTTTTAAGGCCTAAGCTAATGTCCCAGCTCACACACTAGGTGCCTCCCGCTACACCAACATGTCTCTTCAGCAAATAACTGGTCTGTTAGAGTGGGTCCCTTAAAATGAGTAATAGTAAAAAATGAGCCAGCACAGAATCTATGAAAAAGTATGCAGCCATTTGCCCAAAAGAATGACACAGTATAAGGAACAAAAGACAAAGGAAATTCTTGTTTGCACATCAAAAGAATTGTTACAAAACACAGAGAAAATGCATTTCCTGTAAAAGAAATTAAGTATGGCCATTATGAAACAAGAGGTCAAAAAAAGAAACACAAAAATATTTTTTAACATGATAATAAAACTGCAGGAGAATTTTTAACGTGACCTGAAAGAGCTTAGAAAAGAAATGAAAGAGAAATATATTAAGAAAAAGGAAAGCCACATTAGAAGCAACTACACAACAGACAGCTGAAAAGAGGGATATCCTGCACAGACTGTAGAAAACCAAGCAAAATGCGGGGCATCTGGGTGCCTCGGTTGGTTAAGCAGCTGCCTTAGGATCCCAGGGTCCTGGGATTGAACCCCACCCCCCCACCTCCCCATTTCGGGATCCCTGCTCAGCGGGAAGCCTGCTTCTCCCTCTCCCTTGCCTGCCACTCCCCCTGCTTGTGTGCTCGCTCTCTCAAATAAATAAAATCTTTATTTTTTTTTAAGATTTTATTTATTTATTTTTGACAGAGAGAGACACAGCGAGAGAGGGAACACAAGCAGGGGGAGTGGGAAAGGGAGAAGCAGGCCTCCCGCTGAGCAGGGAGCCCGATGCGGGGCTCGATCCCAGGACCCTGGGACCATGACCTGAGCCGAAGGCAGACGCTTAACGACTGAGCCACCCAGGCGCCCCTCCATATAGTTATTTTAAGGCATGTTTTTCTTCATACATAATAAACATGTTTATTTTCTTTTAAAGAAATCTATAGTGGGTATTTTTGGTAGTCTTTTGTTTGTAATAGTTCTTACAATTTTTGTTTCTTCTTTTGTATAGTACTTCTTTCCTTTGATAAATAATTTTTGGGTGTTCCCAAGACCCTGGGACCATGACCTGAGCCGAAGGCAGACGCCTAACAACTGAGCCACCCAGGCCTCTCAAATAAATAAGAGCTTTAAAAAAAAAAAAAAAAAAAACTAAGCAAAATGAAATGAAAAAGAGCACAGGAGATAAAGAACTGGAGAAAAAGTATAGATGTGGGACAAAGGATATCCAATATATGTATATTTGTTGTCCTTGAGTAAGAAATAATAAAATAAATAAAAATATTGGTAAAATAGAGCTTTCTTTAATGAAAACATGACTAAGAAAGATCTGACACAAAATAAATGCCAAGACACTTCTTGACAAAGTTTATTGGACTTTAAGAATAATGAAAAAAATCATTATTAGACAAATCAAATCACTTTGGAAGGTTGGAGAGAGAGGGAATATTGGGGCCACACTCAGACGTCACCATTGAAGTATTCAAGCTAGAAGCAGGAGACCCAGATATCCTATCAAGAAATGAATGAAAAGCTGATAAATGAGATGTAGAAAGCAGTGATTTCTCTGGATATAAAAATAAGGATTTAGATAATGGTAGGCCATCTTATTGTGACCAAACTCTCTGTTGAAATAGCTTCAAATGCTGACTTTTAAGGGAAAAAAAGCTTTTTAAATTCATTAGGCAAGATAGTAGCTATTATCAAGTCAAATTTTAATCAAAAACAAAAATCAAGAGAAGTAGGCAAAATATTCAAAAAGCACTTTTCTCCTGAAGAAATTTGCCAATTAATGCTAAAGTTAGCTGTGGGGAAACAGGTGGTATTTAAGTCAAGGCTCAGGTTGTGCCCAAGACGGAGACTCTGAGAAACCCCATAGTCAAACAGATTCATCTCAGGGCCAGAGTAAAGTAGAAAGAATGCTGCTCCATTATCCTTCAACCACTCCCACGGGGCTTTGGAGAAAGTTGCCTTGGTATCATTCTGAGGAAGGAGAGGAGAGAGACAGAATGAGAGGCAGACAGACATAGAGAGGCAGAATGAGAGACAGACATAAAGAGACAGACATAGAGAGGCAGAATGATGGGAAGGAGGGAGGTTTCTAGCAGAATGACCCAAATTGGCATCACCAGAGTTGTCCAAGAAATCTCAAGCATTGTCAGTTCAAAATTGTTCAGAATTGGTAGTGCTACAGGTAAAAGCAAATATGAATCCTCTCCAAAGAAAAATCCCTTCATCCTAGGCCTCAAGGAACCCCCAAAAATTATTTATCAAAGGAAAGAAGTACTATACAAAAGAAACAAAAATTGTAAGAACCATTACAAACAAAAGACTACCAAAAATACCCACTATAGATTTCTTTAAAAGAAAATAAACATGTTTATTATGTATGAAGAAAAACATGCTTTAAAATAACTATATGGAGGGGCGCCTGGGTGGCTCAGTCATTAAGCGTCTGCCTTCGGCGCAGGTCATAGTCCCAGGGTCCTGGGATCGAGCCCCACATCAGGCTCCCTGCTCAGCGGGGAGCCTGCTTTTCCCTCTCCCACTCCCCCTGCTTGTGTTCCCTCTCTCACTGTCTTTCTCTGTCAAATAAATAAATAAAATCTTTAAAAAAAAGTAAAATAAAGTAACTATATGGAGAGAAACTATGGGAAATGACCCAGAAATTTGAAATAGAACCAAATAAAATCTCTAAAATGGGGTAAGTCCTAATGAAACTTAAAAATTCAATGGGCAGGCATGCCTGGGTGGCTCAGTCGGTTAAGCATCTGCCTTCGGCTCCCGTCATGATCCCAGGGTCCTGGGATCAAGTCCCACATTGGGCTCCTTGTTTGGTGGGGAGACTGCTTCTCATTCTGCCTGCTTCTCTCTCTGCTTGTGCTCACTCTCTCTTTCTCTCTGACAAATAAATAAAATCTTAAAAAAAATTCAATGGACAAATTTGGCAGGATGCTGCTGAGAGGGAAAATAATAGTGATAGAAATTACCCAAAATACAGCATGGGGAAGCAGGAAAACAGAATATCCATAAAAGAGCTTAAGAGATCAAGTAAACAAAGTGAGAAGATCTAGCAAAATTTCAACTGAGTCCTGATGGCGGAGGGGGAGAGAGAGAGAGGATGAGAGAATGAGAGGGAGAGAGACAGAGAAAGAGGGAGGGAGGGGGAGAGAGAGAGAATGAGAGAGAGAACAAAAGAGAGATGGAGGGAGAGAAAGAGAAGGAGGGAGGGAGAGGGAGAGAGGGAAAGAGGGAGGGAGAGGGAGAGAGGGAAAGAGGGAGGGAGAGGGAGAGAGGGAAAGAGGGAGGGAGGGAGGGGGAGAGGGAGGGAGAAATAGGACAAAAGCAACATGTGAAAAGACGATGGCTATGAATTTTTCACAAAGGCAAGAAAACCAGTAAATCTCAAACAAGGTAAATAAAGAATAAAATCACACAGATTTATAATGAATATGCAGAAAACAAAAGACAAAGAGGAAATCTTAAAAGCAGTCAGAAAAAAGAAAAGAGGAAGGAACTCTTCCCAAAATATTTTATGAAACCACATTATGACACCAAAACCAAAGT